TTGTGCAAATGATGTCGTTCAGAAGAAAGATGGAAGCTCCACGACCACGAACAAAACTCCATCAAAATCATTCACCTGAGCTACAAATCTCCTCCACCATCTCAATATCAAAAAATCATTATCCTTGAAGATGTAGTAACAGTTACCTGGAATAATTCACGAAAATATAATTGATTTTAAATCATTTATTTCACTCAGCTTAACTTGTTATGAATAGAAATTCAATGAGATATATTCTATTTTCACGCTATCAGAAATCATTTAACTTCTAGGCTTATTTTGTACAAACCGAAAAATTGTAAGTGGTTTTTGGAAAAATGAATTAAGAGACTTATATTACCATTTTTGAAAAGGGAAATAATATTTCACTTGGTATCTGTTAAAAAAAACTTTATATCCTTCAATAATCGTTCCAAAATCATTAATCTTTATATCTAATAGCATTGTTCTGCAGATTACCGAAAACTTTTACATAATAGATTAACTACTTATATACCTTAAAAGTAATATAATAACTTTTAAGTAAATACCATCAACCCACTTGTCCATTGTGGACATAATTAACATAATTTTAAAAATTATGTTAAATACCTCTTTCAAGCAAGAATAAATGTGATGGTAACTAGTTTCTATCGAATATTTTCTGTTATAACACCAAATAAACATTGTGTAGAATTCAATGGAAATATCTTGATTCAAAAACAGGAGATTAAATGTCTTCATATTGCCATTCGACTATCATCTACTTAATATGTGGATCACTAACGTAGATGATCTGTGTCGAATGATTGGGTGCCTACTCAAGCTAGATGAGAATGGTGTGACCAACCAGCAAACACTGAAGTCATAACTTTCGGTTAATACCTAACGTAGGTTACCCGTTGTCGTATCCAGGCACTATGGGTGCTTCGAAGACTGTACAACACAAACGACATCTTCATACAAATGTATTAGTAAGAGTAAGTACAAGGAACAGAGTGTGATCACTGATGCATGAGCCACTTAATAGCGTGCAAGTAACTACTCTGTGTTGGTTGTTCTTGACCCTGACGAGCATCGGTTAACCGTACGCCATTCAGTGACCTGACTGCCGGATGATTTGGCTAGGGCTCAATGACATTTCTCTGGCCCTACTAATCTATACCAAGTCAGAAAATCTTCAGCTGTTGATCACTTTTATTTGAATCCAAACCATTTGTATCTTTGCTAATAGAATAATTTGGTTGGTCATAGAAGTGATATCATAATGAAGATATATGGTATAATTTTTTTTCAAATATCTGTATTCATTTACATTTTAACCAGACTTAGATTTTATTGTGTACAATGAAGCACACAAGCGTAATGATCAGGAAAACTTGAATTGTAATAGTTAGTTATAGAACTATGCATAATGAAGACTGGAAAACTTGACAGCCTTATCTGAATATATCAAACACTACCACGGGATATCATTATAAATCGGCTCCCATATTACTAGTTATCTGCATGGTAATTTAACTTGGTCATTTTGGAAATAATATAAAAGCTGGTGAGAGAGTAAGATTTTGCAACAATTCACCATCCCTCATTTTTTATAATAAATACAAAGTCATCTTAGTTTATTTCTATTACTGGTCTCTCACATTCGTATTGAATGCTTCTTATCTGTTGTGATCGGGTTGTTATTTATTTCATTCCCGTATATTTGAGTACAAATAATTGTGTATTACAATAGTTTTCCTCATATTTATGTATGTACCCAAATAAGTCAGGTTTGTTTCAGTTAGGGTCGGTATCAGAGCTTGGAACGGCTGAATAATTGAAGAATTTATGGAAACGTACATAATTCGTTAACCATTAACTTCAGGAAAATCATTTTACTACTTCTCAAAAAATAAGTAGTTTAACTGAAATTCATATTTTTACTCTATTGTTCAATGAAAAGAAAAAAGCTTGGTGTTTTCGTCCATAATTTTATTCAAATAAAATTAATTAGAATGACTAACAGACTTCTTTAATTGTAAGGAAGTGATATTATCAAGTTAGTATTGCTGTATACTACGTTTTTGTAGCGTAGTGAAACTAATAAAAAAAGTTCTTATAGGTCTGTTAACCAGATTATTTGTATCGCCATATTATTATGCATTCAGTGACGTTCAGCAACAGAGTTTAATAAGTTCGCCGTACTTTAATTTCACCTACTAAATTTGCTTATATTTCATTTTACTGACATACTATCTTCATGTAAATGAGCCCAGGACTGAGTTGGATGGAGAATGCTGGTGGGCGGCCAATGCTCCTCCAAAAGAGGTGACAGACGTAAGTAAGTAAATTCATGTAAATGTTAAGACTGTTAATTAATATCTTTGTTTGTTGTACAGTCAATTTTTTGTTACTGTAATTTATTTAAAACTCAGTTTAATCGTTTAAAACTAATTGACCACATAGAATATGGAATCCATGATCTTCGCATAAATCTTTCTCTTTTTCCAATTTCAACAAATCATGAGTCAGTTGAAGCTAGACCACTATTGAAAACCTGGAAGCACTGGACGGCCGTTTCATCCTAGTATGGGACTCCTCAGCAGTGCGCATCCATGATTGAACTAGAAAGATTCAGATTCTTAACTGGCTAGTAAAATTACAAGTTATTTGATTAGCTATGTGTTTGAAGAGTTACGACGCACTTTAGTTAACTTTAAAAACAAACTAACTGAGAAAAGTAAGTACTGAATTGTTTCATAAATACGTAAACAAAAATCAACATATAAAGTCATAACTGCTGACAATAAAACTGGACAGTAAAACAGTTATCTTAAAAATCCTAATTCAACGTAAACAACTTATATTAATAGTGATTATTTAGGGAGGTAAACAATACCTGATTAAACACTGAATATCACATTTTCCTAAAAATGAACTTACGTGATCCTAGTAAATGTGTAAAAGAAAGTAGAGCAGTTGCAAATGCTAAGTTACATGAATATCATTCTGACATTAGATGTCTATCAATATATATGATCATCCCTAGAATGACTAAATAAATGAAGTATTGAGCTGAGACTGGTTTCAAATCTTTAGTAGAAATCATTTTAGAATTATTTTGTACAATTTCCACAGTATTTAAGAAAAGATCATATGGTTTTACGGATACTCAGTTTTCATCAATTTAGGTATTCTAACAAGCACTTGTTGACTTTCAAACACAGGCGTTTTTACCAGGTAATGATTAGATTGATGATAAAACGATCGTTCTTAACTATATACTTAGCTTATAGTTGATCATTTTGTTTGCTGCATTGCACTAAATTAGAGTGGTTAATTTGGACGGACATAACAGCAAAGCCCCTAAAAATATTTATTCTCATCTTTCAGATTACACTCGATTTTTTAAAATGTTGACTGATTAGAACCTGAAATTGAGTCACACTAAGAGATTAAGCGCTTCATGCCATCAAGATTATATAATAAGTAGGGTACTTGCTGAAAAAAGAAATTTTCAGATATCCACACTCTTATTTCTAGTAAGAACTTTACGACTTTCGGCACTGTATATGATCAAGAGTGCTCACATTTTAAGAGACCGAATTAAAAAATCGAAAAAAATGTTCAATAATATTTCATTCTTAATAACATATCGACTAACCTCAATATCTTATGAATTTAACGAACACATAATAATGTTTCCAAATTGTCCTGGTAAGGTTGAGAGTGGAGAGTCATCTCTCCCTCTCCGAATGTTCTCAAATGACCCCGCGTTATACAGCCACTGTCATGGACGTCCTACCAACTACCTTCTCGAAGTGGTGTTGTTTACGAAAATGAGAGGACAAAAAGCGAATGTTCGGTGTCTTAACCAGGTTGGTGGACATAGAGAGTCCACCTGTGACAGTTGGAAAACCCTGATTCCAAATCAATGGTACACACGAGCTCCAGTATCCTGAGGGAACAAATGGCGCACGAACCTACTGTTGGTCACCGGCTACCATGGAACTCTATCTCCTAACGTCGCTCCACTGCCTGGTGGATCCGCCCTTTGGGTCGAACGCTCCGGGTATGGCACCCTAAGAAAACCAACTACTTCGGTTTGAGAACCGGGTTAGTATCATAGTCCACATACAAATCAAGTGAATTGTGTAGAGCATATGCATTCAGTACCCCTTTGTACCAATACGTATGTATTTAAATAAATAAAATAATACATGTTTCCCAAAGCCATCAAAGAAAGGACTAATAATTTGTCACAATTGATTGATCACTGAATGGTGATCAATGTCATGCTTGTCTAGTCCTTATTAGTGCAGATCAAATGCCATCGATCATGTTGCAATGTGGCCACCAGTTTAGGTGACTCGACACTGCGGGTACTATGTATTGAGATTTAGATGGTCTGTGGAGGTAGTCAACAGGAAACCCTGGACCCGGGTTTCGTGCTACTCGGCACTCGTCAGCAAAGTGTACCTGTAATCTTGAGGGAACTGGTGCTCCCCAGCGGATTCGATCTCGTGTCACCTAGCTTTACAGTCTGAGACTTTACCACTGAGCTATCCGAGCCGTGACTAACCTCCTTTGTACTATTTTGTTTTTTGTATTCTAAGCTACCCTATCACACTTATTCTTACAATGATCCATTTAGTAGAAATAAAAAAAGATCATTTATATTCAATTATTTAATAAGAATTCTCTTTTACATATATTCACAAGAAACTATGCATTCATTTCTATTGAACATTATGTAAACCAACTAGAAACATTATTAGTAATATTATTATTATTATACATACAAAATGATCAAATAAAAGAATGAATACATCTATGTTATATTAATTATAACAAAGTTTCTGTATTGTTTTACATAGAAACACATAAACAAAGATATTTACCATGTAATTTATCAAACATTCAATGTTTATTTGTTTATTTATTTAAACAAAACGAACATATTACTCATGTATTCACTTAAAGAATAAAATCATGGCAAACAATCCCTAGATCTGGTTTTTTTTTTTAATTTTTTTAAATTTTAGTAAAAAACAGAAAAAAATTTTTTTATTATTATTTTAGTTTTTCATTAAATGATATTTTACATAAAAAGAAGAAAAAAATGAATATTTTCTCTATTTTTTTCTTTCTTTCTTTCCTTCTCTCTTTTTAATATATTTTTTTGTTCTTCCATGTTAACCATTTGTTGTCATGTGAAATAAGCAATTGAATTTCAATTTATTTATTTTTATGTTGTACAATGTTTAAAATAAAAATCAATATTATTTTATTTTATTGATAATATAATCAATAAATAATTCAATCATTCAATAGAAAAACTTATCCGGGATATTGATTAATTGATTATTACTGTACAATTTTTTTATTATTTATAATGATAACTTATATGTATAGTAACATATTGTTTAATAAATAGAAATATGAATTAGTATATTTTTATATCTTTTTTCCTAAAAATTTATAATATAGAAATTTAATTTAAATCTGTATTTGTATATGTGATATTGATAGTTTGATTCATTCTAGAATTATTAATTACATTAGATAATTGTCCAGATTTGAATTGTGTATCAAAGCATGTAATAAGCATAATATGTGATTTACAAGCATCAACACGTTTACGTAAAATTTCTGTTTCTTTTTCTAATGCTTCTAAAAAGCTTGGATCATCTGGATCCATTTGTTCAGCAACATAAACTGTTAATAAAAAAAGATAACAACAAAGAAATATTATAAAGTTTGTAAAATAAATGACTTTTTTCGCACCATGGGTAATGTATATCCAATTAGAAAAGAAAATATTGACATTTTGTAAGCTTTTAAAGTTGCTATCCTTAGATAACCAACCATCCATTTTACATCGATGGATATTACTATATAAACAGATAATGAACCAGTGACTTTTAGTAAATTCTATACAAACTACTATCAATTATTATGAGCTTATATCAATCATTTGTTAGATTTATCGTGTCAAAATAGAAAAAAAATAAAGCTAAGTGGTGAGGTAAAGGAAATTTAGAGTAAAAAAGAATAATTGTATACTGTAGAAAATAATATTTATTCTGATATACATTGAAAACATCCACATATATGACAAGAACCGATTGTTCTAATTGTACAGGTTTTTTTCTTCCAAGGAAAAATTGAAACAACAAATATAAGTTTTCTTATCAATGAGAACAATGAAATTTTATGAATATTTTTGACAGAAATAAAAACTAGTTAAAAATGATTAATTATAATTAATAATGTAATTGGTATGAAACACTGTGTGCTAAAGCAAAAACAACAAGTAACTATACTCTTGATGATTGAAATAATAATTAATAAAATATGTACATATTATTATGATAAAGAAATGAGATGAAGTTGATTCGAGAAATGAGACGTATATTCATTACACATCTTGAACAATCTGGTCATATATGTGGTTGTACTGTTGTATGGCGATGGAAGGAATCTAGCAGTATTTCTATATTTCCTAGTCCAGGCTTTTCTTCCCACAAACTAATTGTTTTAAAGTTTCATACTTTGAGAGCTCTCTCAGCTGAGGCATAATTTTTCATTTTTATCAGAATGGGTTTTGTGGAGAATTTAAGAAATTTCACAGGTGGTGTGGGATCGTGGATGCGCACTGCTGAGGAGTCCCATACCAGGACGAAACGGCCGTCCAGTGCTTCCAGGTTTTCAATGGTGGTCTAGCTTCAACTGACTCATGATTTAAACCTGTGAAATTTTTCATTTGTTGAAAGCTCATCGGCAAATTAACTCTGTATACGATAAAGACGGATAGCATGCTGATTATATGTAATCAGGGGTTCAATATGTTGTATTATGCTAACAATGTTATTCAAGTAAACTTGTATAAGAGTAGAATATTTATAAATTACAGTGTAGTCAAAATAATTTTTTATTTTATTGATTTGATAGTATATGAAGTATTCTAAAGATAAGTTCCACCATACGTTTATGTCAATTGATGTAATACTGGAAGGCTATTTCGTTTTAGTTTAGAAATATTCAACGGTAGAAAATCAGGATAACATGCTTAAGTAAAAAAAAATAGAACCATCAGATTCTATGATGTTGAGATCACTAAATTAAAATCCAGTGTTTTATATTATATCGGAAATGAAATAGTACTTTAAAGACAAAGTTAATTAATTATTTTACTGGTTTTCTGAATTCAATCTTTATGTTAAAAACACTTTTCACTAATTCCTATTGATAATGTAGTGAAGGAGAACACAGGTGAGGACAACCGAATTATATTTAGCACTAAATTACAGAGTTACTTGGTAAAATAGAAAAATAATACTATAATACTTATTTCCAAAATATTCAATAATTGTCTTGAACTTCGTTGTTCTTGCATTTTAATACTAATTGCTTTCTATTTCCGCTCTTCATTTCTTGATCTTCCCCATCTTCTGCTGCCAGACATTACATTCTTGACTCTCGTCATATACTACTTATATCAATATAAGTATTGAGCACCACAATAAGACTAAAGTATATGTAAATAATGTTTTGAATATTATATTTAGTCAATAAACACTTTTCATTTCAGATGATTTAGAAAATTATTGTGCAATATATCATCGTCATCAATCATCATTTTATCCCCCATATAAATAAAAAAATTCTTTCATTTTAACTCACGATCAAAACTCCATGTAGAAGGATCAATAAGAAGACGATCTTTAGCTGTCATCAATTCCATTTTAAGCATATCTTGTTGTGCTAGTAAATCATATGTTTTTTCATATCGTATTTGACGTTCCATTTCCTATTGAATCATAAAAACAAACAAAACATATTCACAAACAAAAAAAAAACGAAAAAGACATTAGTAATCATAAATAATTAAAAATAAATAAATAAATACAGATTCTCAAAACGAATTATTCAACCTAATAATTACACTTTGAATAGATAAGAAACAAGAACTAATCATTTTTCATTATTTTCTTTCCCCTTTTTTTTCGTATTACAATTTTTATCAACTAAATGAAATAATAATGAGTGAAATTTTGTCATTACAATGCTTAGCCTTCTTCATCTTATTTAATCTTTATACTTCCTTCCTATTTTTTTAATTCACCGCACATAGAAACTAACAAATATACAAACATACACACACGTACACACTAGAGGTCTCTTGAGAGATTTTTATTTAAATTAAATTTTCTTATATGTATTCTTGTATACACTGTATCTATCCATTTAATAGTGAATGAATAACTGACAATACAAATATGATATTTGACAGTTAGAATGATAAAAAGAAAGAAAAAAAAGAAGAAAAAAACTGAAAGGTTGGAGATTTGATTGAAAAAAAAAGTTGTTGATTCACTTATTTCTATTCGTTTTAGTTTAACATTTTGATTAGTTGAATATTTGAAATGACAAAACAAAAAAACAATAAATGAAGCGATAATATGGAAGAAATACACCATTGAATGTGTTTGTATTTCTTCTTTTTCTTCTTCTTCTTCTTCTTCATCTTCTTCAGTACTATGTAAAGTGTTAAATTAAAACATAGTTGAACTGTTTAATTGAATTGAAATTTGAAAAAAAAGAAGATAATAAAGATTAATCTTTTGCCTGTTGATGAGGAATAAATAAAAATTAAACCAATGAAATAATAAGTTGTTGTTTTTTTTAGAAAAAAAAGTCAATAATGATTGTCATTGTAATGTGAATAAATGACAACTGAATAATTCTGAAAGAAAGCGGAAAACAGGAAAGCCAAATAATGTATTACGTTGGGAAACAATTAGATATGAAAAAGATGGATAACAACTGGAAATAACTGGAAAAGATTGCCCAGGACAGGGTTGGATGGAGAGTCCTCGTGGGTAGCCTATACTCCTCCACTAGGAGTAACAGGTATATTTAAGTATGTGAACAGTAATCAAGTACACATTCATATTATTTATCCATAATCTAGAATTAGTATTTCATTGCTAAAATTTGAAGTAAAGTTTGAAACTATCTATCTAATGATCATAAGTTAAATTAGAATAAAACATTTAAATGAATAATATTGCTTTCAATTATATCGTTATCAGAATTCCTTCTAATATATAGGGATATTTAAACAATCACCGAATGAGTGAACATTTCACTGTGTGGTTGAGAAAAAAGTCAAATGAAGACAACATGTAACTCTATCTTGGCATATATGATAGATTGTAGATAAAGTCCGTATACCTTTGTCGCTTTGGAGTAAAGTTTAACACCATCTTCCATATATAACATATGGTATTGAAATCCATACCTATAACTTTAGTTTAGAAGAAATTTGGGACACCTTTGTCTCTGTCTTGGCCGGATAAATAAAAATCGAATTTATTGATTATTTTCACATCCTATATTTATTGGTTATTTTGTTTACCTCTTTTACTTTATATTCATTTCTATCTAATTGTTTACACAACTTTTATTAGATAATTTTAATGATACTTTGTGATTATTACTTTGATGTTTATCTATCCAAGTTTGACTTATTTCCTGTGTTTAACTATTGACTAGAACTTTTCTTACTTTATGATTCTTATCACTGTTTGTACAGCCGTCTTCCTGTAATGTTATACCCTAGTGAAGATTAAAATATGGGTAACTTCTGTCAGCTATTAATGGACTAATATTATATATATACTCTTATTTTATAACTACTGAGTAACTAGATTATGTTTATTTATATGCCTCTTATTATAAGCTTGATTTTTGACTGATAGACTATTATTATACGATTTACTATTCTTAAGTTATACCCAGTTTAATAATCACAGTCTCTCACAATCACAGCCACATTTAGCTTGATCTTGTACAATTGTTATTTTTTACTTATGATATGATGTGATCTGGTTTGCTTGTATATAAACCAAGTATGTCTGAAATAAATGATTCGTATAGTGGAGGTTGATATTGGCGTTCTGAATTGAAAGGACTAGGCAGAAAAAAGACAAATAAGGACGCTAGGCTGCCCATACCGGTCAATACATCATTGTTGTGGCACAGTGTTAAAATTATATAATTCGACTTATGAATGGAAGTCATATCACGTGAATATTAACCAGGCAAAAGTTACAACACACTCCATTTGTACTTTCTACTTGTCATGTGTAGTTATCCAATCTATTTTATTGTGACGATTTAACTCAGAAATTACCTTGACTTCTTTAATGTTTTAATATATTCATATAGATATTCCTGCACGTTACATGAAAAGCGACCAGTGAAGTTGAACTATGTTGGCTCTGAAATGGTTACCCACTAAAGAAAATGAAAAACAGTCGCGTAATATCATGGGCTGGTTGAAGTTAGACAGCTCTGGAGATTAAGCGTTCATATAAGATCTCAGGTCTTAGGTTCAAATATCACTTTTAGGATCGTGGATACGCAATGCTGAGTAGTTCCAGACCAGAACGAAACGGACATCCAATGCGTCTAGGTTTTTAATGGTGGTCTAACATCGATTCGTTCATGGTTTCAATTAAAGCGATTCAACCGAAAAAACTTACATGTGTTGTTCTAATTTTCACAATGTGAAACTTTATCATAAATTAGATGTTCTAATCATTAAGTGTTAGCTTCATTGTCATTTGAGAATTCTAAGCTCATAACAAAATAGACACATCTATTAGGTTGTATGTTTTCAGAACAAGAAGATGCTTTTGCGTAAACCAATAAAATGACTAAGTTTGTCAAAACCACATGAGCTACTTCAGCAATATAATATCAAACGATCTGATCGTATTAATTTTCTAAAATATTTATCTATAAATATAAAATCGAGGCTAGATAAACTGTTATGTAATCAGACTATTCGAACTGCACTGCCATAGTCTATCAACAAGTTCCAATAAACATTTCCTGAGTGCATTATCTAAAATTTACCAATGACTATCTCTTTTAAATCCTTTTTTAAATGGACAACTACTAATGTGCTATAAGTCAAATTTAATAAAACAACAGATGTATATATGTAAACACATAGGCTAACACATGTAATACATTTGCAATGATAACAATTGTAATAATTGAGTATTTTAAGACATTAACGAAATGTCTTGTTATAGTCTAAATGATAATATTTATTAAACCTATTGAATTAATGAGCATATTAAGTGAATTGATGCAAATGAAATGTGACAGTTAGAATGCTTATTCAATTTGATGACTTTTTTTCCCTTTTAAACGTAACAAGATAATAAATAAGAGAACTGTTATGGGTTTTATATGGAATTATTCAATAAAAATTCATTGAGAATTTGTCCAGATAACGGAACTTAAGAATCTACAGTTTGATAATAAAAATATTATATGTCAGTTAAATAGTTGTGTTAATGAATGTACAGTTGAAAGATATGTGGACTTGTGAGAAAATATCAATAAACTAATTTCTTTTTAATTGAGATCATGAATCGATGAATGTTAGACCATCATTGAAAACCTGTAAGCACTGGACGGCTGTTTTATCCTAGAATGAGACTCCTCAGTTGTGTGCACCCACGGTTTTGCGCGCGAACGTCTAACCTCTAAGCCAATGAGTCAGCATCCAACAATGGGGTAATTCTCAGAGTTTTAATGAGAAGCCGTGACCAGTAGGGCAAATCCGTGTCGGGTAGAGACAGGTATCTGCCTCAGACAACAATTTCGTGGATTGGTTGAGGTTAGATATCAACACCGTTGGATGCCGGCTCAGTTGTCTTAGAGGTTAAGCGTTCACATGTGGGGCCGAAGCTCATGGGTTTGAATCCTGCGCGCGGGCTCGTGAATGCGCAATACTGAGGAGTCCCATACTAGGACGAAACGGACGTCCAGTGCTCCTAGGTTCATAATGGTTGTTTAACATCTACTGATTCATGATTTCAATCAAAAACGTACCAATCTCCACACTTCCACACTGATAAAATAACTTTGTCAGACAGTGAATACGAACTGTGTATTCAGCGTTCATGTTTGTAAACCCAATATGCTAAAACAATTTGTATCTTTGATAAATTTAGATTGTGTAATAAGAAGACGAAGTTTATTATTCGAAACGTATGATATATTAGAGCTAATAGTTGTATACTAAGGTTTATTGAAGACTAGGCTATACGAAAATTCAAACTCAAACTAGATATTCAAAAAGGGTTGTTCCACTTTAAAGTTACCCTGGTAATATTACTTTACTATCCAGCACGGTGAGGTTCACATAGTTTTCTCCATTATTTTGTTGATTGTCTTTGTTTCCTCTTACCCTCCATTTGTTTAGTTGACCTTCTATTTTTTTCATATATAAATGCGCTGATATATCTCATAGTTCTGATAATCTTCGTTTTCTTACTTCATTATCCAAATTACTAAATTTATCCTCTAGTGACTGCCATTTAAGTATTAAACTTATCAATAGGACGATATGTTAATTATCTTGACAATTTCTAGATTAGTTAGCATAGACAGTTATCTTCATAGTTTTGAAACTCAATTTTAATATAAAATATACATTTGAACCAACAAATAAGTAAACTGATAGAACAATAAAAATACATACTTCAGCTTTCCCTGGACGATTCTCTAGCTAAGTCTTATGTTTGATAACTATCCTCACCTCACTCTTACTTGTTTAATTAACCAATGAGATATGGTAAGAATTATTTTATGTTCATGGAACCACATTATGTTAGTAACATTTTGATGTGTATAGTTTTTTTGTTTAGGATAATAAAGTAAAATAATGAAGTTCAGCATTTTGAAAAACGTTGCTCAACGTGCACTGAAATTAGCCAAAGTCTTTGAAAATCAAACAGTGAATGAAACCTAACTCATTACAGCTTGAACCATTACCGCAGTACCATATCCCATTCTCATATTTAAATCGAGCTGTTAAATAAAAGGTTGATAGGCAACCACAATTTTAAGTTTGAGTTCAGAAATACATTTTTCTTCCATATTCAATCATTTTGAAGTATGAAGTGAATGATATCCACAACTTAATTATTTTAATACATAGCAACATTTTGAAATTTTAAAAAATTCATCAGTCATAATCTTATCCTCTGATTTATATAATAGAACACACATTTTGACTTCAGATATCTTTATTGAATAATTTACATCAAGATACTGAGGCTATTAGAAGAAAAACAACAGAATTACACGTTCATTCCAAACACAAAGGTTTGACATTGTTATTAAACTACATGTGCTAGAAATCGATGAAGTAAATTCAACATGTAGGCTCCCGAATGATTTATTTTTAACTACTCATAAGTAGTTTAGTGATATAGAGAATATTTCAGATATGATATGAAATAATACAGATAAGAAATACGTTATAAATGGAATTCATTTAGTGTTATTGATGTACTTACAAGTGCTTTATTTTATTTAGTCAGTTTTATTTTCTAAACAAAATGAATTCTTCATAACTTACAAAGATTGGCATTCAATGGTCAAAACACTAGTCTACTAAAGCATATTTTCAGAAGGGGTTTTGTGGAGATTTTGAAAATTTTACTAATTGATTGCGGGATCATGGATGCACACTGCTGAGGATTTCCATACTAGGATGAAATGGCCGTCCAGTGCTTCCAGGTAATCCATGGTGGTCTAGCTTCAATTGACTCATGATTTCAATCAATAATGCATATTTGTAAGTAATTTCCACTGAAATAATGAATTTTTCCCTAGTTTTTAATTTCTAACAAACTAAAGTTTTAGTTTGGACAGTTTTAATCTTACACTTTTATTGTAATAGTTGTTATTTAAATAATACAGAAAATATAAGTAAAACTGTTTAAAACTGATAGTGAAATAATAGAATAATAGAGATAATATCATCTCTTAAGTTACAAAATAGTAACATAGAATACAAATGTTAGAACGTACTTGTACTTCTTCTGCATACATTGGGAGAATACATGAAACATTTGAAGAATTTTCGAGAACAGAATTCTTAACATTTGTTGAAATTTGAGATGAAAGATTTTCACTTGGTTTATTAGAAACATATCTTACACTAATTGGACTACTTGATGTTTCTTCAGATGTATCTTCTGAACAAGGAGGAGCTGAACGACTTCTATGTGAGGTAGATGATGATGAGTGAGCTAAAGTGCAAAAAATAAATAAACAAAATAATAAAGGGCAGATGAAAGATTTTAGATGATCAATACGTGACTAGACTAATAAAATGTATGACTGTATTACAATTAATGTACGTTGGACATTAATCACCTTTTTAAATAGAATTCTTGATCAATTACTTTGAAGCAGTCATAACTTATACGTTCAGTGGATTGCAATATCAATATTATATTTCTTATACGATTATTTAACGAGTTTATGTCCCACGAAGTTATATTTTTATATACATTTCATCAAATGATTTCTTACAAATGAGGATATATTATATCCAATTCTAGCATGCATTATTTTAAATAAACATACTCATTTAAATTGAAATACTGTTTCACTTAAAAGATGGAAATCTGTCTACACTGAATATTCGACAAGATTAAAATTTATGGATTCTGAGTGATCTTGAAACATTCTAATAAATCAAAATGTAGGCGATCTTCATCAACGATAGATTACAGAAAACCAAGAAAGATAATGGATACACATGTTTAAGATTGTGTTCTTAAATTATAGTGCGTGAGGTACAGAAACTCATCCATGTGGCTCCACAACAATCAACCTTTGAATCGATGACAACATCACAGAGAAATTCCTTCAGCCTTGACCACATAGATTCTGTATCATTTGTGTGTACGCCAGTCGTGTATATTATATGAACGGAGTCTAGGCAAGCTCCTTTATACCCTCCACCTACCGATTTATACAGTGGTGCCAGGTTGGACATAGTATAATTAGTACAAACAGTGTTGCCTGGTAGTTTCTGACATGTTGAAAATATCGTTTTTGTAATGTTCTATTGTAAATACTGAAAACCTGTTCAGTAGATTCACGTGACTTCATTCACCTTGTCTGCTTCGATAGTTCTTTCCCTTTTCGTATTTAAATTTATTGACAATGGCTTCTAATGTTCTCAATTCACGAAGATTTGGAAGGAGAAACAAGTAACGACGAACTGGGAAGAAGGACACTTCATCAAAATACTAAAGAAAGGGGATCTCAGCAAGTATGAGAAATACAGTGGCACCACACTACTGTCAGTATCAGGAAATGTTTTCAACAGAGTGTTGCTAAACAGAATGAAACATTCAGTAGACGCCAAACTTAGTGATCACCAGGCTGGATTCCATAAGACTCGGTTGTGCATACACCAAATTACAACACTACTGTTCATCGTTGAACAACCAATTGAATGGAACTCGTCACTATGCATCAACCTCCTTGACTATGAGAAGGCGTTTGTCAGTGTGAATAGGAGAAAATTATGGAACTTTCGACACTATGGTGTCAGTAGCTAAGAAGGTTGTCAACATCGTCCGGACTACACTGCAGAGTGGTGCATGAATAAAACTAGCAGATGAATTCCAAGTGAGGATCGGAGTCAGATAAAGCTACTTATTCACCTCCTTTCTTTTTCCGCTGATGGCTGACTGGATTATGAAGACTTTCACATCTGACGGGAATCACGGAACTAGACGATTTGGACTTCACAGATGACTCGGTTCTTCTATCCCACACACACCAACAAATGTAGGTCAAGACGGCCAGTGTAGCAGAAGCCTCAGAAGCAGTAGGCCTCAACGTACATAAGGGAAAAGAAAGATCTTGAAATACATCACGGAGAATATCAACCCATCAACACTTGATGGCGAAACTCTGAAATAGGTGGAATCTTTCACATACTTCATCAGCATCATCTATGAAAAAGGACGATCTGATGCAGAAGTAAAGGAGGGGATTACCAAAGAAGGGACAATATTCCTACAATTAAAGAACATATGGAACTCAAAACAACTGTCAATCAATATCAAAGTTAGAATCTTTAATGCGAACTTCAACACAGTTCTACTGTACGGAGCTGAAACTTCCAGAACTACCGCAACCATCATCTAATAGTACAAGTATTTCTAAACAATTGTCTACATACGACACTCAATATCCATCGGCCAAATACCATCAGTAACAGCTTACCATGGGAGAGAACAAATCTACTTCCATCTCAAAAGAAAACTAAGAAAACACTTTGGGATGGATTGGACAAACATTACGGAAATCATCAAACTGCATCACGAAGCAAGCTCTAACTTGAAATCCTGAAAAGAAATGGAAAGAGGAAGGTCAAAGCATACACTGCGTCGAGAATCGGAAGCAGATATGAAAAGGACAAGTAGTAACTGGACCGAATTGTCCAGGATAGAGTTCAATGAAAAATGCTGGTGGGTGGCCTATGCTTCTACACGAGGAAAAAAATGTTAAGCAAGTATTATGCCACGGACTCTTCTTCGCATTATTTATTGAATTCAGTCAAGCAGTTTCGAAAATCTGCAAACTTTCAATTGTGTCAATTCATAATCCATCCAGGTTTACACAATCATTAGCTATGTGAAATTCAATCCGTCATTTGACCTCATCCATATCTATGTCTCTAACAAATGAAAATCAATTGGAACAAAGTATATGTTTGTATGGCGTATACTAATGAATAAAATTGAATATTTGATAACTAGTTATTATGATAGACATCTCTAGCTGATTAGATAAAAATAATGGAGTGAACATATTTTTACTTAAGGAATAGGACTGAGAAGTATAGACCGTTGACTATCTACAGACTTGAATGTTATTAAGTAGGTCACATATTTTGTTTGATAACACCTGACACTACTCAGCTGATTTAACTTAAACATAAGAAGCTATATTCAAACTTGAACTAACTCGCTTAAATAAGGTCAGTTAGAACTCAGATTAACTGATAGTCTTTAAAACAATCTACTCATAAAATTATTGAAAGCCCATTCTTCTCAATTTTCCTATAGTAATAATGAATTGATCGTTAAACAATTTTTAAATGGATTAAAATATATAAATAAGGCTGAATTAGAAATAATTTAGCAAAATTAAAACGGAAACTGGAGACATTAAAATACTTACATTGAGAAGTTACAGTTTTTGATGTTGCACTGGATTTTGAATTTGTTGAATGTTGTTGAGAAGACTGCTTAGATGGTGATGTCAAGTGAATTTGTTGAAATCCTTGACACGATAACTCTTGATTATTTACATCTGAATCGATTTTAGAAGTGTGTAATCTCTGTACAGTTTGTAGATTATAATGAATTTTATGACTATTGCTTTGAATAGATGGTTCATTTTTGTCTAGCTCTTCTTTACAATAACTATTCATATTACTACTTTGAATTACTTGTGACTCTTTTATTCTTTCATCTAGTGATACATTTGTTTGATTAATTCTATGACAATGTTCACAGTATTCTTGTGTCGTACAATGTTTTTGAGGAATAGTTTTATTCTTCTTAACATTCGCAGTGATAACACCAACTCCTCCAGCAGAGCTACCACTGGTAGAATCAGCGTGTGATGAAGCCTCACTATCCCTCACAATACTCTCGTAACCACTACTTGCGTGACCACCTCCTCGACGAGGACCAGAGCCAGATATATTAGAAGATGGGATGCCAATAGACAACTTACCGGTTTCAAATGATTCAAGAAGAACTTTGCCATCATTACAATGTTTGTCATGCTCTTCTGTTTCTTTGTTTTCAACTTTTCTGTGGCCACTAACCGAATTACCACTTTCTGAACTTCTCTTACCATCAGCTGGTCTTCTTGTTTCACTTACTGCCTCACATTTTCTATTATTATGATGGTCTGGTCGACATGCATGTGACAACTGAAAACATCTATGACATCTTTGTCCATTTCCTGAATGATGGTGATGTTGATGAGTATGATGATGGTGATGATGTCTTTTGCAACGACATCGTAATGATGTATTAGGTTCTGCTTTTGAATTCCAAGCACTAGTGTGTTCAGTAAGTAAACTACTACTACATTCACTTCCATGTCCACTACTTGATTGCATAGAAGAAATTTTTGTGGAGGCCATTGAAGTGTTGAATGTGAGTGGAATGTTAGTAGCATGTGCATTAGATAATAGTGTATTCTTACTCGAATTATGTTGTTTTTCTGATTGTATGTGCTTAGAACTTGATTTATCCCTACGAATGCATCTTATACGTGTTTGAGACTCAGGCGTATCAACCTGAGAGGAAGAATGTTTGTTTTGATTGGAATGATCAGAATCTTTAGTTAGTGGTTTAAGACGTAAGTCAAAATTCTTTACAGTTTGATGGTCAATATGTTTTGTATCTTTTACAACTGCTGTTTCAGAAGATTTCGCCTCTTTCTCTTTACGCTTCCCAAATAATGGACTTGTCAAAAAGCTTAACCGTCCTTTACTTGTCTAAAATTCAATATAGAATAATTCATGAATGTTTTTCAAATAAATATTGCAACTGATGTGAACAGTTAAATAAGAGAAAAGCTAACCGATATGTTTATGATATATGCTTATCATCTTAAACAGAATTACTACTCATATTCCTTCTCATTCATTATTACCGTAATCTGTTATTATTAGTCATTGAAATGAAAACCTTATTCATTGGGATTAGTTTAATATGAAATCAAATTATAATTTAAAAAATGATATTAAACTATCTAACTACGCTAATATAAAGACATGAGATGCTTAAACAACACAGTTGAACTATTTCTAGTAACTGATTCTAAAGTAATAATAATAATACCAAAATATTATTTAAGCTGTAAAATTATTTAAAGTAAATCACCTAGTGCATAATTGGCTAGGATAATCATATGGATCTAATAAATCACTAATATTGATGACTGTGACTTAAACTCGATGAATTCCACAGCTAATTTCAAGGTTAGAAGTTAAATTTAAAACTAAAGAGTCTTCTTAAGTTCGGTATTGACTTACCACTCTTGAAACCTTAAATATCTGAAGTATTCCTAACAGTTAAGTATAAATGACATAACTTATAACAGCGTGACCTGTTTGAATATCTGGGCTACCTGTTCCTGCCAACTGGATATTTCAACATATAATCTGTTTTCTTGTTTGTTTTAACACATTATTACTCCTATTAGTCCCATAACCTATTTAGGTGCGTTCGTGAAAAGTTTACAACATTTCACTGTACAAATCAGAGACATCGCGGTTACTGACAATATACATCGAAAAGGATACACATTATTCACATGTCTATTCCTGAACTGCTAACATCTAATTGGCGACCATTCAATATTAATCGTAAGGAACGATCAAGAAATAAGAAAAGAAATCTTGTTTAAATATTTTGCGCTGAGAATTCTATATTTTAAGTTGCCATAAATTTTAACAAAAATGAGTACTTACTTTAGTACGAATTTCTTTTGATAACTTTTTTCCTACGGTAGTTTGTAAAATATTTGATTTCGTCCCGATGCTATCATCATTTTGTGCATGATCAGATTTATGAATAGTACAACTATCTAAAAATACATCATTCTTATTGAAAGAATGTTCACTTTCTGTGGAAGAGCAAATACTATGAGTTCTTTGACATTTGGATGATTTTGGAGAAGTACAAACAAGTAAATGTGATTCATTCTCTTGATGTAATTTGCTTGATTTTTTCTTTGTTTCCGGTGAAAAGCATGTTTTTCGTAAAGGAGAAGTTTTAACATGTGTGTTAGAATACTGACTAGTTGTTGTAGGAGAAAATCCCACAGTTTCTCCATGAAAAGGTTTTGTATTAATACGAAAATGAGACTTTTTTGAGGATGCCCAAAATCCAGTTGGCTGGTGTGATAATTTTTCGTCAAATATATCACTGTTATACTGAGTTTTATTATCACATGATACTATGTTTTGAGTATCAGAAGCTCCTTGTGGTTCTTTATGTAAATGTGGGTTGGATGATCCATCAGGTCGTCTTGAAGATGGTATGTCTCTGTCACTTTTTCTAGATATGTTGAGTTTTTCTTCCTTTCCATAAAGCGGACCAGAAGAGACAGAAATCGGTAGTGGAACAGTTGTTCTTTCGGAGGCAGTGACTGAATCCTGCTTAGTGCATTCATCAAATGGACAAGGGAGTTCAGAATGACAACCTTCCTGGATTGAGTTAGGTGGTACAGACCTTCCACGGCGTAGTTTACTGATTTTCATACATTGCGGACTTTGTATTATAGCATTTTCATAATTACACACTCTAGATCGTGTCATTTGATGAGAGATAAAATTACTTTCTCCAGAAAACATAATCTCATTTTGGGAATTATTGCTGCAATAGCATGTTTGGTGGTGAGCTGACGGGTCATGTTTAGCGTTTGTGCAAATATTTGTCGAAGATTCACGAGGTTTAATCATTACATTACTTTCACCCGACTGGTTAAGGCCACTTTCCTGTGTGTTGTAAGTTTCAACAGAGACTGACTTAACCCAGGCGGCTATTCTTGCAAAGTTTGAAGATGTCTGAAGAGAATTAATGAACGGTTGTTTCGACTGAAGAGCAACATTACCGAATAATGCATTACTAAGTGCTTTTGAATTAGATATATTCGAGCATGAATTATCTTCAGGCTTCATGAATTCTGTTTTGCCATGAAATCTGCAAAATAATAGTTAGTGTATTTTCAATACACGTACTGAATATAACATCACTTTAGAATATGGTTAATAGTATCTTGGGTGTAGAATATGCTTAATAGATTTTTAATAAATTAGAGAAAAAAACAATAAATCTACCATTCTCCATGTTTACTTTATGATCAAAATGTTGTAACTACTGGTACAATTACCACTGACTATATTTCAAGTGTAATTTTTTCTTTCGATACAAATACAAAAAAGGACAATCTAAATGTAGCTAAAAATTAACTGTAGCATCTTGTATTATGATGACAACGAAATACGTATTTCTTCTCATGTATTAGTGTGAATAGTTAATGGAGGTCTTAAAAACTAATTTTTAATGATTAGTTATTCTCGTCGGTAGGATATCATCTAATTACTCTTAGGACATGTTAAATACTTGCATTTCCAAATACAACATTATGCACCGATTGATGCTAGACCTCCTTTGGAAACCTGGAAGCACTGGACGGCCGTTTCGTTCTATTGTGGGACTCCTCAGCAGTGTGCATCCACGATCCCGCTCGCGGGATTCGAACCCAGGGCCTTCAGTCTCGTGCGCGAACGCTTAACCTACTGGACCACTGAACCAGTATCCAATGATGATGGTTTCTAACATCAATCAATCCACGAAGTTGCGCGCCCATCTATGTTAGCATATACTTTATTAAATTTACTCACATATGATGTCTGATAGATTGACCATCATTACCAATCTCTCCAAGTGCCATACTAAGATTTGCATTTATTACGGTGCATAATTCATTTCCATCTGATTTCATCAATTGTAATTGATGATTTTCGTTTGTCTGAAAATTGAGTAACAATGTAAAAATGGAGCAATAGAAGCAATACTGAATTAATTTTATTAAATTAACAATGCAATTACATTAAGGAATGGCCAATTCAGCAGATATTTATAACTATCGGGCACTAGACAGTTATTTTTATTATAGAACTCATCATTGTTTATCTGAAACTTTATAAGAGGTGAAGCGCAAGACCTGCCTACTTAGCAATAATTGTGTTAACTTTAGATTTCTTGAGTTGTCATTCATTTGTTGAGAATTTCTATTTAACCAGTTAACGATATTGGACGATTATTCTGCCACTGTCATCAGTTATAAATTTTTCAGTGCTGTACATGGGTGAACTTTAATTACTACTGCTTCTCTATAGAACTTCGCGAATATTTATCCAATCTGGACACAAAAACACGTGATTTTTAATACAATGCCTCGTATTTTAGTTAAATATAAATTGACTGAAGATATAAATGTGAATCATTAGATACTAACTAAATAATCTACAGATAAAGAGCCTGTAACTATGCCTAAAAGTTATAGATTCAACCTCTGATGGAGTAGTAGGTATACATTGACAAGAATACCCGTATTATGATGAAACCATGGTGTATTATTTTTTCTAAACATCTGACCGTTTAAGTTATCATTACATAAAAGTACCATTTCTGTTTCACTGATATGTTATTTACTACGTCAGTTTCAAAGTGAACTGTTTAATGAGTTATTATTAAATTTTTTACATTAATAAAATGAAACAATCAACATACTTTGGTAAAATCTTCTTGCATAGTAGTATTTATTGGTAATGTGCTATGCTTTTGAATCCAATCTTTAACAAATGGTTTAACTTTAGCTATAGGTGCATTTGTATCACTATGATTCATAAATGATTTAGTTAAATAACATTCATTAGAAGATTGTTTCATAATAGGATTTACATTTGTTATCTGATTTACATTAGATGTATGAGGAATAGAATTTGTTTGTGTATTTAATTCATGATCATTTAGATTATTATTACTATTATTAGTATTGTTATTCACAGTCCATGATTCTAATGATTGTGGTTTAACAAGTTGGATATGATTTCCATTTGGTACTATACTTGTTAAATCACCTGTTTCTACAGTTAAATTACTCTGGTTCATAAGTGAACCAGCCATAACGCATGTTGAACATTGACTGCTCAGTGTTGTATCGCCATGCTGTACTTCTAAAAAAAAAGTATATTATACTTTTAAATTTAGCAGAATAAAAATTATTATCAGAAAGGGGTTTGATGGGAGATTGTAGTAATTTAATAGTTGATTTCATGAGTCAATTAAAGCTAGACCACCATGAAAGACTAGTGAAGACAATGGTGTACGGTGATGCAATTTCGTGGATTTTGGTTGAGGTTAGATATTAACACCATTTGATGCCAACTCAGTGGTTTACAGTTTAAGCGTTCGCGACTGTGACTGATAGGTCCTGGGCTCGAATCAAAGTTGCGCACTGTTAAGGAGTCAGATACTAGGACGGATTGGCCATCCAGTGTTTTAAGGTTCGCCATGATAGTTAATTCACTCATGAATTCAAATATTTAAATGTTATTATTATTATTTTGTTGATTATTTTTTTCACCACAAAAATAATACTTCAATGTCTCAATAAAGTCTTTTTTATAGCATATAATTACTTGAATTCAATTGAATTCAATCATTCTAACTTTCAATGTACACTAAAAGTAGATATATTGTAAAAAAAACTTTTGTCTTCTCAATTTATCAAGGGAACTAATTATTTCAAGTGAATATTTCTTGGAATAGTTTGATATAAGTCAACAAATCTTTGAAACACTTATCACTTTAATGATATAATTCATTGAAGAGAGCACGAACAAAGATTGATGTAGAATAATATGAATTCATTTTATTTCATTAGGTTCTTATCAGTTGCTTACAACCTAAAATATTTAGAATTCAACATTATTACAGATATTGACATACTTATAAATAAGAGGCTGATTAAGCATGAATAAATGTATCATGGTGTAGCGAAGATTTCGATAGAGTTAATGTGGTCATAAAATTTTGTGTGGAATAAATAAAGTTTGAGAGGAAATGTTCCGGAACATTGAAATAGTGATTAGAACTCATGAAAATAGATTAATGGTAATAAAGAAAATATGAATTGAATGAATGAATTATCGAGATAAAATGAAGAAAGGATTGTACACTTCAACGTTCAGTTTATAAAAAAGACACATGGAATGGAAGTTATCTCAATTTCAATAGCTTTTGTCCAATCAGTTACAAAAATGCACTTGTCAAAACACTGTTTTACAGAACAGAAAGAATATGTATTGCCGATACACCAGAAGAGAAATTATGAATGTTAAAAAATGTTTAAAAAATAACGGATACTCACTGAAATTTATTGAGAAATATGGCAAACATGAAGATAAAAAACCCAAAGAAATTACAACAAATAAAAAGCCTGTTTTTATTCAACTTCAATTCAAAGGTGACGACATCACAGGATCAATCAATATGAGACTAAAAACCGCACTGACGAGAACTTATCCTGCAGCGAAATTGATTGTCCTGTCCAAAACAACATGTTCTTTGACACAATCAAAGGTCGACAAGTATCCCTTTCATGTTACCACCAACTGTGTATACAAATTCACATATATCTGCCAAAGCAGTTACATTGGTAGAACAGAAAGGAGAGCCTACGTCCGATTCAAAGAACATATTTCGAAAAGTTTAACATCAAATGGATTAAAAGCATTCAACAGTGCCATCGCAAGACATCTCCTTGACACAGGACACGAAGTCGGTGCACTGAAGTCCTTCAAGGTGATTAATAAACTATCAAGCTCCAACCTTCTGAAATTTGCTGAAGCATTAGCAATCAAACGTCTAAAACTAGACCTATGTATACAAAAAGAGACAGTAATAAGTCTTTCTTTACCTTAGTAACAATAACACTTCTTTTTTGTTTATTCATTTATTTCTATTTGTTTATTTATTGCATCATTATTTCAACTCTTTCTGAAATTTAAATTACATCATACATAACTAACTGATTTCAATTCATATTTTCTTTATTACCATTAATCTATTTTCATGAGTTCTAATCACTATTTCAATGTTCCGGAACATTTCCTCTCAAACTTTATTTATTCCACACAAAATTTTATGACCACATTAACTCTATCGAAATCTTCGCTACACCATGATACATTTATTCATCTTTCATCACCCTTTTATGTATAAGTATGTCGATATTAAAATATTATAAGTTGTACACAGCTGATGAGAAACTAACGAAATAAAATGAATTCATATTATTTTGCACCAATCTTTGTTCTTGCTCTCTTTAAGATAATAAAGGGAACTATGTGTATGATATAATTCAGTCAACATATCTACTCATTAGCCTCTTTTCCACATTATTCAATTCATTTGACTTTAATATCTCAGTAATATTCTCAAATGATAATAACACTTAATAATTTTTGTAACAGCTCACATCCAGGTAATTTAATTTTGAATTAGTTTATTTTTTCTGACTTTGTATGTTACAAGTAAAACTGAATCTTGATAAAAAAAATATGTATTATTAAAACGAAACTAACATATTTTGAAGATTCAATGAAAGTTTTACATACTACTTACAATTTATTCAGTTGTTCAATACCTTCGGTAATTTATTAGCTTCTATTAAACCAACTGAAATCGTCAGTTTTTCAAAGAATTTATTTCTGCTAACTTATGAACACCTACCTTGAATAAAATAATTAGTTCAAAGACTTTTTACCTTTTAATATCAAACCATTAATATGAACTAGTACGAATACCTTAGTTATCTTTCACCTTTTATTATTCTCAATGTTTCATAGAGCATATGAAATGTTCTCAGAGACCTTATTCACCCCGGGTTTTTTTAATGTTTTCATTATATACCTACGTACACACTGCGATATATATATCAGGACTAGATAATAATAATAAAGCACGAAGCACAACACTTCCTGTTTTCTACCTTCAAAATTAACGATAGTTAATACTTTCTAAAATCAAAACTTCATTGAATGATTTTTCTAACAGTATATCCTTACACGTATATGTTGCATATTAGCTATTATGTATAAGCGGTATTACAAATAAATTTGATATTATTGTCATAAAAAATCGAAAAGAAAGAAAGATTGTATGACTCGATGAATATGAATGAAAAAGAACATATATCATAAAAGAGGCAATCATTTCGTTGTCATAAAGTATGGTGAACTACTTTCATATAGTTTATTTATTTGTTTACTTATCATTGTGTTTTCACCTTTTTGTTATTTACTTACTATGTTAGTACTTACAAGAAAACTATGTGTAAAAGGTGAATGTATAATTTGTATACTCTTCATATATATATTACAGAGACGATGGTAATTAGACTGTTGTAAGAAATAAAATCAAGAGTTAGTCAATAACAGAATAAACAAATAAAGTGAGAAGACAAGATTTATACATGAATTATGTTACATTCTTTTTATCATGAAAATAATAATCATAATAAGAGGGAATCAATCTAGTTATAAATAGGATTTTGTTTTTGCCTTAATTTGAAATCAAAGAAGTTGTATCAGGCAAAATAAAAACAGAAAGTAACTTTGAAATGAGCTGAAATGAATATATATCCCAGCTGGAATAAAAATGATTACTTTAGTGAACAATAGACAATGTACCATAAAATCTTGAGTAAAAGAGGTGTTGCGAATACGTACCTACGTATGCTCAGTCACTAATCAATAATATATATATATACCTTTAACATCAAACAGGTAAATAAGTTAAAACACTAGAAACCGAAGAATCAAACATACGCCAAGTAAAATGTATGTTTCGATCGTAAGTAAAGTTCACAGCTTACAGATAGGAATTACTTTTATTTATACAGAAATGATTCCCCTGATAATTTTTATTTGTAAATACAAGACTTTTCAAAGGATAACCATGTTTATTAAGTTTCAGGTCTTACTATTTCCTAGAAAATCTGAATAATTCATTTTCAAAAGGTCAGATCACGTATTTAACCCTATTAGACTTTAGTTTTATAAGACCACCATTTTGGGTTCAGTATTGTAACTGTGTAGTGAAATATCTGCTTTATTTCCAGTATGATATTCTGTTTAGTATAATCTTGACAATATTTCATGCAGACATATATTCGGGATAACCTTATTTGCATAGATTTAATGTGAAGTTCGTCCAGTGTGACATATATAGGCTTTTGTACTAACTCTCTATATTTCCCTAATGTGTACTATTAGTTAACTACTCATCATATATAAGTAAAAACAGTATATAAATGAGCTCATGTTTGGTTCAAGTCGACATGTTTTGAGTGATGAAATAAATATTCTGCAACTGATTTGTTTTCTCCATATTTATGTAGTGCAAATCACAGTGGTTCTCTATTCGTAGTAACCAGTAGTTCAAAATCGCAGTGGTTACCGCCAAATAAACACGTTGTAGTCTCACAGTGAAAGCGATGTTTAAAAAAATTAAGTGAATCCGACATAAGGATAAATATGTCGTGATAACACAAGAAGACAATGTACAAGGAAGTACAAAAGATAGTAAGTGTATATTTACCTCCATTATTTGGACAATGATCAATTATTCTTTCCATTTGGCTTATTTTGTTAGATTTAGACGTGATATTTGGCTTTTCTAAAGAAATTGGTTTGATGGATACATTTTTTTGAATATTTTGAACTTGTTTATCATGTTCTGTTTTACATAATTCATCAGCTTTTTGCTCCAAATAATCTTTTTCAGGAACCTTTTGATGTGTATGTGTACAGATGGCACTAATTGGATGATACTCTTCTTGTGATGTTAACTGACATGGAATTATCACTTGTACTGACGTTTTAGTTAGTTCATCAACTTGAGTTTCCTGGAAAGTCATATGAAATAGGTAATATGTTATTTAATTATTTATACACATTACTGAAACATTAAATGTGTAAATGTACTCTTCCTAATTTGTTTAAGAATTCTTAAAGTATTTGCAAATATTTAACTCGTTATGGTCATTTGCGTGGATTATTTTATAATTCATATCGGTACACAAACATATTCTTATATTTCATATCAACAACATTATATATTCTTTGAAAATAAGTTCAGCGCTATTTTATACATTTTAATCTCCATTTTGCACTCATTTTGTTACGTTCGACAGTAGATCTAAAAATGTAGTGAGACAAACTTCGTATGGTACTTTATAAATACATCCTACAATGTATTTCTTCAAGGGAAACAGTTTGATATAAATAAACATAGTATACTCAGTTTTCGCTATCCTTGAGTGATAAATTCAAAAAATAGTTCAGTCATGAAATAACAAATTTACTTCATTTTCAAGTCAAATAAGTAACCAAAAGCATTAAACTCACTTTATCTATCATGCTTGGTTTCGCTACTGCATTTGTAGTAGTTTGAGATGCTTGATGACTAGGGTTGGATGGATGGAAATCTGATTTTGGTCCGTCAACCCATTGTTCTTTTTGAGTACTTAAAGTTTCAATTGCATTCTTCACTGCATTACGTGGCCATGCATAAATATTTGTACGTGGTGCTGATCTTTTACGTTCCTTGGAATGTACTGCTTGTGGTGAACAATGGTCACCAGAGTTTGTATGACTTCCTGAATGACCTAAGGAACCGCTCTCAGCTCCTCCACTACCACGTCTTACACCAACAGACGAACCAACTGGTGAATCATGTAATTGTTGTCCTTCAAATTGTTTCACTTTACTTCCACTGCTTGCCTCCTAAATAACAATATGTATGTCATATATTTGAATATAATTTGACTTACATTGTCTCAACGCAGTGTGATAAAATATGCTTAATTAGATATAAATATTAGATATATATATTCGTGAATAACTCAGTTATTAACAGTGATGTCAGCTAGTATCTAAACTACACGGATAATACATTTTATAACCTGATTCTGTTTATAATTTAATATCTTTCGGGATAAAACACTTTAGATCATCAGTAATAAAACAACCTATTCTATCTGGGAATACATGGAAATGAATGGGAACTCTAAAACTGGTGTACTATAAGAAAAAAAATATCCACTCTTTGCTTAAGCCGATAGCTCTATCAAATATTATAACACAGCAATATTCCAAACACACTCAAACTCTACAAATGTGTTCATATCATCCAGTTTTGTAACTTGAACGTATATTGTAACACCACTCACACTTAGGTCTGTATACGTTTTAGTGAAGGCTTTCAGTTAGCGTATTTGTCAGACAGTATCATTTGATCAGTGACAACTTGTTTATATCACCGTATTACTATTGGTATTATCATCATGTTATTATCACCATGTATATTGGATCATGTGTTACAGCGTACACTAATATCCCTTTTGTTAGCTTAAATGTCAGTTTCTTAACTCTCTTGGTGACTCATTAGCTTTCTTATACGTGTGGTTTTTAAATCCAATTTACTAATTCCTTCACATTTATTCTCATTCATTTGTATTCTCATTTCTATTTTTATTCGCTTCGTGTGCTTGTGGCCTTATGATCAGCACTATGCTTCGTATTTACTTTTGAAATTTGTACACCGTTGGAAGTTATCTAATAACAGTCATCAGGACTATTAATGTATGAAACATAGGAATTATCTTGATGGAGTTTTGTTCCAGCTCAGAGAACAAAACTCCATCAAAATCATCCACCTGAGCTACAAATTTCCACCAGAGGAATTATCTCTCAACGTTTCCACAACATCATTTTTTTATTTTCGAAAATGAGATTATTATAACATCAAATCTTAGATTTATACGTTGATAACTTAATTTTTAGATGTTACTAGCTACAAAATTATTACTAACCTAAAACATACTATGGTGAAAAGTTATTAGAAATAAACCTCCTCTTAATCAAATTACGTTACTTCCACATAACTCGGGTTCAGGGCCTAATATCGATTGTCTCCAACCACTTGAATGTGAAAATGAATAATCAGTAATTTGTCTGAATTGTTTGTTTTTATTATAAAGGGAAATTAGTTCCCAGAAAAGTAATCCTAACTTTAAATAAATTTACCGGCGTAGGTGACGCCTACACAGGAGTACTTGATATTAGGATATAGATTATCAAAAACTTAAATCATGTATGCTTATAATTGTAATCAACGTTTACTAAAAATAGGTTATCGTTAATCTTATTTGTCGATAACCGGATGCATACCGACAAATACAAGTAAACATATACAAAAACTTACTGAACCTGTATCCATACTTGCTCCTGATGTTGGTTTACCAAGTCGAGAACGTATCTTCTGATTATCATCTTGATCATATTGATGACTCAGTAGACCTTGACGTCCTAAGTAAATAACAGTATCACATGATTGTTCACTACTAGATGTATAATCTTTCTCAGATGAAGCAGGTACACTTAAGAGACTATCAGGCCCATAATGCCTATATTTTGTAGAAAATCCTTTGTATCCATTTGAACGTTTCATAGCTGAGCGTAATCCCATATTTAAACGTAACCGTCCTGCTCGCCTTAAACCAAAACTATCACAAGAAGAACTGTCTTCAGAACTAGTATTCTGATCATCAATCTTAGAATTTATCTCACTGCTATTTGAACTACTGCCTACTAATGTTCTCTCATGAGTCCTATGGCGTCGACTTCTTTGAATTTTAGATGCAAACTGTAAAAGCTATTTAATGAAAGAAAAAACAAAGTGATGAAATAACTTGAAAAACTTATTATTTCGGCTACAGATGAGGTAACTACCAAAATTAAAGTACAGTTTTAAGTTGATTAAATAAACCCAAGGAAAAACTTCCAGGATAAGCTAACTTAATTAAAATATTAACAACATAGAATGTAACTCAAGGATTAATATAGATTCTGATCAGTAGGCTTATTCAATAATGTTCTGACGTTCAACACTTTATGAACTAGACCTCAGTTATTAATAAACGGTCAGAAGAAATGTACAATATGCAATTTCCAAACTATTTTCATTTCAAAGAAAAACGTAGTAGTGGACTAGATAAATTATTCTGTGCTGATCTAAGTTATGCGTAATAAATGTAACTTCAGCACTAAATAGCTATTGAAGGAACATTCTGACTGAAAATATCAGTAAGCAATAGATCTAAGTCGGCATCATCCTCAAATATTTATTCCACTCCCTTATTATCATTGTCATGTGATCTAAAACATACTGAACATCATGATACTTGACATGATGTGTGATATGAAGAAACGCTCGATTTGTTGATGAAATATTGGTAAAACATCAATGCAAAATCCTTTAAATGTTTTAATCCTCAAACTCATGAATAATCCATTGAAATGAATTTATCCATACTATGAGATTGAATAACGTCTAACAACTAATCAGTTTCTTTTAATTAAATGAAAATTCACAATCACGAGTACGTTCAGATGTTAACGACATTTATTTACCTACGATTGATGAAATGCTTCAAAGAGACTTCCCATAACAAACATATTTTACCCTAAAATATCTGCTAAGAGCTCAGTTTAACAGACAATCATCTAGAAAATACTTACAAGCGTGAAGACAATGTTGCCCAGGAATGATTACTAATTCACTTATGATAGTTAAATTCATGAGTTACACCAAACTTGAATGAATATGTAGTGTATAAATTATGAATTAAATCTCTTATTGTGTATACTTATTTAGTTGACTTTGTCTTTTAAGATATGTTTATTTGAGCTATTTGATTCAATCCATTAAGGGAAAATATTGCTTTTAGTAACATTGGTCACTCTATTAGTGTTACCATCACTTGTTCTGACATAACATATTGATTGGTTATAATTGATTGTTGGTTATATTTGATCAAGATAAGGATTTAAAACTTTATAAATTATTGGTTTGGATCGACAATAAAAACCCTTACGAATAAGTAAAAATTCACCTTTGTTGTACAACCAAGTGATTATCTAAAATCAATAACTAAGTGGATAAACGCGTTGGTAATTTGAAACGAAAGTTACCGGGCTCGAGTCTTGGTGCGAACATTAACCCGGGTACAGTGAAATTCGGTTGGCAAGTTCCAAATAAGACGGAATTAGAATCTTGCATCGAAGTGTTGCCTGCCTTCCTACTCTAATTAAAACATAAATTTTTGTCTGTTTAATTACAATATGATTACTAACAAAAGAATGGAAAGATTAGTGTATGAATTTGATGCGATACAATATGAAACTGATAAAATTTAAGAAGCGATAAAAACAATAAAGATATGACGAAATTCATAGTATTCCAAACATTTTGATAAACATATAAGTGAAATTAGTTATATATATAGCCTACCTGCAAATTTTCATGATAATAATTTACATTTGGTGATGTTTGTATAAGTATACATGTTCGGCAACCAATACTTCCAATAGCTTCACGTAACATTTGTGAAAGCTTACTATTTCTATGAGGATGATGTCTATTGCCATTGATTAATGCTAAGACAACTGAGGTCATGGAAGAAAGTGATAACACCGAATCGTTTAATGAAGTTGATGTTTGTTTGTTTTCTGAATTCTGCGAATCCGTATCCGCTGAAATGTCTGTTTCAATATCTCTAGATAGTTTTGTATTTCCCAGATCTATTAAATGTAACCGACTCCGACCACCAGCGACTTTATCAAATCATATAAAAAAATCAAAGTCATTAGTTATGTTACATTGAAAAGTCCTCATTAAGCCATAAATAAACATAATGGATAACAGTATTATTACATTTTATCGTTGGTTAATCACAAAGGCCAAGGAAATATAAAGTATAAGAGTTATAGGTTGTAAATAACTTGAAAACATTGATCAAAGATAGACGACAGTCATTTAACTAAAACAAAATTCAATGCCAAATATTCTCAAACTTTCTTTAGAACAAACAAGCACAGTCAATGAAAACTAGCTGGTCAACGACGGTGAAAGAAAATTCAAATGACTATGAGGTTACTTTTTTTAATTTTTAAATACGTTTTTCTATTGATAATTTCATTCGTAAAGTTCTGTAAATCTATGTATGAAAATTAAATGGATAGTTTACAAGTGAAACAAACCATTAAGTCATATATAGTTTAGATAGCAACTATAAAGTGCCTAACAACAACTCATATTATTGAGTTATCCAAGAAGATCCAACAAGTGTATACAAGTTTAAATAGATGAGTCAGTGAAAATTCTCTAATAGATAGAAAGATAATTTGAAGATGAAAAATTCATTTAATTGTTAAATAAATAAAAAGAATCAGAATGGGTTTTGTGGAGAGTTTTAGAAATTTTACAGATTGAAATCATGAGTCAGTTGAAGCTAGACCACCACTGAAAACCTGGAAGCACTGGACGGCCGTTTCGTCCTAGTATGGGACTCCTCAGCAGTGCGCACCTAGTGAGAATCCGTTACCAGTGGAGTTCAACTCACTGAAGACAATGGCGTACGGTGGCGCAACTTCATGGATTGGTTGAAGTTAGACATTAACACCGTTGGATGCCGGCCCAGTGGTCTGATGGTTAAGTGCTCGCACGCGAAGCCAGTAGGTCCTGGGTTCGAGCCCCGCGTGGTGTGGGATCGTGGACGCGCACTGCTAAGGAGTCCCATACTAGAACGAAACGGCCGTCCAGTGCTTCCAGGTTTTCAATGGTGGTCTAGCTTCAACTGACTCATGATTTCAATCTGTGAAATAAAAAGAAGCTGTTCAAGGCAGTCTATTATAGCAGTGATTAATTAGTAATTATTCTTATATGAACGTATAAATAAGACTTAAGTCACGTGATAGTAACTATGAACCCAACACATTATGAACCGTTTATCATCCTTGGTAATTGCTATAAATAACTTTAAAACGATAAAAAAGTGATTGGTGTTGTATTGAACGAGAACACAAATGGGGACAACTAAATGTATTTCAACATCAGATGACAGAATTTCTTATTAAATTTTGAAGAACCATACAGTAAATGCTTCATTTGAAAAATGTCAATCAATCTTCTCAGACTTCATTGTTTTTTCGTCTTCACACTAATCATTCACTGCTCTAGTTCTCTTTCCTTTGATCTTATTAACCTTATGCCACCAGGCATTTCACTTTCAATTGATGATACATACCACTAGTGACTGTCGACATCAGTAGCACACATCGCAGTATTAATAGGTGGTTTAACAATTGTAAAATTAATATTACTGGAGACGAGCTACAGAATGTGTCCACTTAATACTCTTTTTTCTCTTTCAAAATCAATCTTTTGACATATGAATCAATAAAACTTGTTAGAAATGACATGAATTATCATTTTTTGTATTGCTTTGATTCATGATGTTAAATCATTCAACTTCAATAAACACGTGAAGCTGAAATGTAAAAATATCAATTCCTTTTCAACTATGACATAAGACTACTAGATCACGTTTTCATATGACAATTATAGACATTTCTTAATGTGATTACAACATTTTCTACAGAGTACTCTTTTAAAAGAGTTTTAAAAAATATCTAATTGAAAAGACATTCACTTGATATTGTTTAATCCAATCTTCCCTTTGATGTTTAGGACCGCAATTAATCAGTCTCTTTTTGGCATATGCGTGTACTGTGCGTATTGTCTTAATTCGTCTTACTTGAGACTCATCAGCTGGATGTACCTGCTAGCCACTATCCATCTTTGAATATAATGCTTGTGAATTAAGGCAATACGCATGGTATGCACATATACCAATAAGATACTAATCAACTGCAGTCATAAACATCAATGGAAAGATTCAAGTAAACAATACCGTGTAAATTTAAACTTCACCCCATTATACACGCAAGTGGCTCTCAAAACTCAATAGCTAAATGGACAACGTGATAACGTTTGAAGCGAATGGTTTTGGATTAGAGTCCCAGAGTGGACATCAACTCTGAGATGCTGGCACGAATAGGACGAAACATCCATCCTGGATTCCACTACATACCACTATCCATCTTTGTTTCTAATCGGATGTAATTCTCACATCCCGTTTACTTGTAACTTATTATAAAAAATGAAGACTGTCATATGTGTTTTAGAATGAGAGTTTTGTATTAATTTTAATAATTGAATTCATGAGTCGATGTAAACTAGACTACCACTGAGAACCTGAAAGTACTGAACAGTGAAATATGTATTTCAGTTACGGATAAAACATAATAATCTTTCATCATCATCATTCTTTAAATGGACATTATATATTAAGAGTTCAATTAAAACAATATTAACCATTAGATACTTATGATTTCTACGGCTACGATATATTAAGAATATGAGAAAAAAATCTAGAATTTACTTTAGAAGTTTGAACACATTCTAAAAACATTGTTAAATATTTACTCTTATAATCAAAAGAATACAGAATCATATGATCATAGAAAGATGGAAACGTTTTCCCTCCTTAAACGTATAATCCAATCATTCTTTAATAAAAAAAACTCACTATGTACATAAGAAAGTATTTTAATTAGAAGATAACGTAAATAGCATTCTCATAATCCTTATTTCTAGGACCAGTATATTTTCTCTATATTGTGATTATTCTGAAAACATAAAATTTCTTTAAGAATGATACAAAAAACAAAGCCATTTCTGATCTTATAGGCAACAGATCTAGATCTAGATCAAATGCTTTTTTTTGGAATCCTCATTCAAACTAATCAGTAAGTGATAAATTATTCAAAAAATAACTGTAGTACATCAACAATAGATATAATCGAAATATACATCAAAGTTCTATATAATAATTTCAACTGTAATGAAAGTGATAAACATCTATTGGTCTGTAGTATTCACGAGTTACTTATACTATTGTACAGACTTGAGCAGTATAGGTTTTAGTAATATTGAAATTGGTCTTTCATAACAATCGAAGAACAGAAAATATCAAGAAACTATAATTTTCAAAAGTAATACAAGTTCAAAAAATCAATAACTAACCTTCAATGAAGAAAAATCAGTAGTCTGAAATGAATAGTTTGTATTTACTCTGAAGAATATGTTAGCAATAGATTGTTCCAAATGTCAGTCATATCAGTATATTATCCAATAATATGATAGATTCATTTCTCATTTCCTTTATTCCCATAAGTATTTAACTAGATGTTTTTCTGTTATTATGTTAATGGTCATAGTGTAAAGCCTAATTTACATAACTTTATTACAGAGAACCTATTTTACAAGGCCTCTTTTGATGTTAGTAATTCATTAGAAAAATGTGATAGTGTTCTGTAAATGTAACTATCGTTTTAATTGTACAATAAATTAAGTGTAAATCTATTTCATTCAATAGGTTTTAATCCATTATAAACAGTTAGATTCTTTTTATGATAGAGCATTCTTGCAGGTAAATATTAATTCATTCTCTCGATAGTAATAACATACCTACTAGTTTCTATATACCTTTGTTATATGAAATTCGCTCCATTTTTCTAATTTGTTCAATTCATGAAATAACCTATCCTTATCTTAAAATGTTTTTATCTTTATTTGAAAATACATAAAACACTAAGTCAACTTTATTAAATTAATTAAATAGGTGAATTCATGAGTCGATTAAAGCCAGATCACCTTGAGAAATCTAGAAGCAGAGGAAAGCCATTTTGTCCTAGTATAGGACCCCTGAGCAGTGCGCATCCACGATCCCGCCCCCCGCGAGATTCGAACATAGGACCTATCAGCTTCACGCGCGAAAGCATAACCCCTAGACCACTAATGGTGTTAATATCTAACTTCAACCAATCCACGAAATCATGCCACCGTACACCATTGTCTTCAGTGAGTTACTGTTTCACAGCAAGTACGATTGAACTGAACTGGTCACGGCTTATCACTAGAACTCTAGGAATTACCTCTTGAAGCCAGTCACTGGTGAGCACATGATGATTATTATCAGAAAGGGGTTTTGTGTAGATTGTAGTCCAGTGCGGCCTAGTGTCTCTAGGTTTTCCAAGGTGGTTTAGCTTTAATTGACTTTTCAATTCCACTATTAAATTACTACAACATCCACTAAACCCCTTTATTAATCTATTTATAAATAAAATACCAGTCATAATCCTTGTAACTTGAATTGAATGTGTAATAATTAATGACAGTAACAACGACAATAATTACTTCAAGAACAATCATTTATTCTAGAAACTCACTTTTTTGGCATAACATTATGCTACTATAGTATTGTACAAAATTATGTCATATTTATTACTGTTATGGTATACAAAAAAATGGATTAAATTAACTTAAATATGTAAGTCTATCTAGAATTTTACTTACCACCAGAACCGATACCACTTCTTTCTACTCTGTATTGATATATATGCAGTGTGAAAAATAAATGTGAGTTTCTTTTCCATAATATTGCTGGATTAGAAGAATTAGAGTCTAAAGGTGATGAATCTGTTAGAGATTTTGCTGGTGAACCATCAGTTGTTATAGATTGGTAACGAGCAGATAACGCAGAATCCAAATAAAATGCTGCTTTATCAGCTGTGGGTGCTCTAAGTTCACTTTGATTTTCTAGTTGAGTGCCTGAAATTGGATCTTCACGAAGGTAAACACCAGGTGCATTTGCTCCTGCTGCATCTGTAGCTTTATTATGTCAAAAAAGAAAAAGGAAACCCAGAAACTTGTGAATACAGGTAGTTGTGTGTTAGACAATAAAGTCCAAATATATAAACATTCCTTGAAATAATTTGTAATTGTTGTCTATTTATAGCTCAGTTACTTTAAATATTACAATTCTACTGTACCGAGTGGAAACCTGGAGAACTACTACAACCGTCATCAAGAAGGTAAAAGTATTTATAAATAGCTGTTTACGCAATATACTCAACATCCATTGGCCGGATACCATCAGCAACAGCCTTCTCTGGGAGGGAACAAACCAGTTTACAGCTGAAGAGAAAATTAGGAAAAGACGATGGAAATGGATAGGACACACATTACGGAAATCGCCAAACTTCATCACGAGGCAAGCCGTAACTTGGAATCCTGAAGGAAAGCGAAAAGGTGGAAGACCAAAGAACACAATACATTGGGAAATAGAATCAGATATGAAAAGGATGAATAACAACTGGAAAGAGCTGGTGGGCGGCCTATGTTCCTCCACGAGGAGTAACAGGCGTAAGTACCTTAAATATTATTTCATACAACTTCTTTCGTTATAATAACAAAACAGTATATCTCAAAATGTTTTGTTTCATAGATGACATTAAGGTTAATAATAAATAATATATGAAGTGTAAAGAAAACTAAATAATTAGGTTATTAAGACAGATTATGTAAGAATAAAATTAGAAATTAAAATTGAATGGAACTGAAAAGGTATTTTAGCAATATTAGGAGCAGTTCAGTAGAAGGCTAGGGTAAATGAAAAGTCTGTAAAAACATTTTCTTTAGACAAACAATAGGTGTATTGGTGGGCTTTCCTAAGGTTTCAGTTATCTGTGAAACATTAAATTTGAAAATATAGGACAGATTTTACGAAATTCCATAGATAACTTTGAAAATTAAATTAGTGTTAATATGGTAAAAAGTAACGGTTAAATATCTGTAAATGGAGCTTTCGATTTCTTTATTTTGTCCTTTGGTTAACAATCCAAGTCGATATTCAAAAATTCAACGATATAAGTTCATGGTTCACGCCCAATATAACTAGCCTCATAGGACCAGCAGAAATGGTAAAATTACACACAGACAGTCAAACTACGAGGTTAATCTTTATTTCTTGAACCCAATAATATCTGGATGAAGCATAATGTGCATAATCTTGCATCTTTTACTGTTCATTCAGGAGATATTCTTATACGTCTAATCACTATTTCACTGGAACGTCTAAGCTGTTATATTTCGGAATAGTAGCTTATTTGTTTGTTTCGGTGGTTTTGCTTCAGATCTTATCACCGTCATAAGTTTCAGCAGGGACTTTAGAGTGTATTCTTTTCGCTTAAAAAATCACAAGTGAATTTTAATTCTTTTTTACGGGTTTCATCAGTGAGACAAATTTGAGCTCTTTTCACATGAAACTAGTTGAAAATAGGTATTATTTTGTTTCACTTGTATTTTTAATTACATATTTGTCATTTCATTTATGTTTGTTATTGTTTTTGACGGATGAAATACCACCTAAAAATACGCAGCTGCAACATTGCCAACCCTCCTAGTGAACATAGTTTGTGAGAAGTTGTTTTGAAATTAAGAGTGAAAAGAAAATTCAAACAATCATACATATTCCTGCCAATCTCAAAACTTTTCAATATCCAGTTTCATTATTATTTGTAATTCACGCAAACTGATTTATGAATGTTAATGATGACGGTGTATGAGAGAAAACCACAAAGCCACATGTTCGAATCGTAACATGGTCTAACATTTCTCTTACTCTCACTTATTTGCTCTACGTTGAGCATTTCTGTTTTCATCTTTTAACCTAGGTGGAAAAATAATTTGTTTTCCTTCACCTATGTAAGGAAAATGTTTATCAGTATACATGTTTCAGTGAGATGTTTTGATAAAGAACAGACTTTTTATCAGTATTTGTTAATTTTAGTCACGATATTCAACTAATTGAAACACATTTCTGATGCTTACTTCAAACCATTGATTTTTTTCAGAAAATTTGTACTTAGTAAGTAATCATTTAAGTCCCTTTCTCTTTCTTCCATTCACTAAACTCACTTACTCACTCAAACACACACGTAATCAAATGACCTGAGAAACAAAATCAGCCTGTTTGTACATAAAATAAAATGGCGTCAATTAGAATTTCGTTTTAACTAACAGGAAATGAAAAACAATCAAAGTCAATAAATAGAATTAAATAAAAGGTGAGAATATTTTTTTATCTCTAAGTAACACAAATTTGTTAGTCGTTCTTCAATCAGAAATCTTATTAACATAGAAAAAGTAGATAATTTTTAGTTCTCTTCAATATATATATACTATCCGTCAACTTACTATTAGAAACAGAAGAGAGAAGATCTCTAAGTGCTTCCTCTTTACCATACACTTCAACAGCAGATATTCGAACAGAAAATCTTGCACCAGTACGTTCTTTTTGTTCAGTGATTAATCGAAATAACCAAGAGATAGCTGAAGGGATAATGCCAAGACCAGATGATTGTTTGTCATCACCAAACATTGAATTAGATTTTACTGAAAAGGATTAGAAATTAAGAAAGAAAATTAAACAATCAGAGGATGGAAATCAATCAATAATAAAATTTAAAAAATAAAAAAAAAAGAAATTTCGGAAAAATTTAATTAAAACAATTTGATGAACATATTTATTAAAATGAAGCTTTTTCTTTTTATTTTATCCTTATAACAAACAGTATAGTTAAAAAAAGTACTTTCATTCAATGTTTCTAGACACTTTTAATAAATTGTGAAGAAGGAAGATTGGTAAATGATTAACTATGATAGTAGAAAAGATGTAAAGTAAAAAAAAGATTATTTTTTCAATGATACATTTTACAGGATTCAAACTTTTATAAAATCTATTATTATAGTGATAGACATCAATGTCATTGAGAAGGGGTTTTGTGGAGATTTTAAAAAATTTCACAGATTGAAATCATGAGTTATTTGAAGTTAGACAACCATGGAAAACCTCAAAGTACCGGACGGCCGTTTCGTCTTAGTGTAAGACTCCTAAGCAGTGTGCATCCACGATCCAGTCTTCCGCGAGTTTCGAACCCAGGACCTATCAGTTTCACGTGCAAGTGTTTCACCATTAGACTACTGAGCTGGCGTCCAATGATGTTAATGTCTAACTCCGACTTGTCCACGAAATCGAGTCATCGTACACCATTGTCTTCAGTGAGTTGATATCTTACAACAGACCTAGTTGAACTCCATTGGTCACCGCTCATCACTAGAACTCCTAGAAATGCCTCTTGAAGTCGGTCCCATTACTAGGACGAAATGGCCGTCCAGTGCTTCTAGGTTTTCTATGGGAGTCTAGCTGCAATTGACTCGTGATTTCAACTATTGAGATAATTAATTGTTGATTAAAATTTTTATGACAAGTTTATAGATGGAAGTCGGTCTATACATCGAAAATATACAAATTTTAACATTACTATCATGTTTATAAATGATCATTATGTCGAATGGTATCGTGACAAACTTTATGCGTTTTAGTTTACTTGGCATTGTTTATTTGAGTATTTTCATTGATGTTTAGAACTGCAATTGATCAGTCTCTTATTGCCAAACGTACATACTGTGAGGATTGGCTCGATATTGTTTTAATTGACAAGTATTATAAGCAAAGATGGATAGTGGTGTTTGAAGCGAATGGTACTGGGTTGAAGTCCCAGAGTGAACATCAACTCTGAGATGTAGGCCCAAATAGGACGAAACACCCATCCTGGATTCTACTGATAGTCACTTTCAATCTTTGCTTATGCGTGTTGGTAATTTGTTTGTATCATTATGGGGACTTGTTGAGATTGTAGTACTTTCACAGTTGAAATCACAAGTCGATCTAAGCTAAACCTATACTGAAATACTAAGTCGTTTATTAGAATGAAACGAAATAATCGTTTTCCCTACAAATTTCACATATGATGCACTCTATCTATCAGTGTTTCTTAGCTTCATCATAATGATCATCATTGCATCAGTTGAAACTAATATCTGTGTATTATTTTCATTTCATTTATATTGCGATTACACTTTTTTTAGTTACATTAAGTGGTCAAACGTTAACAACTTAAGATTGGTAGATAGGAGTTTTATATGTCTTCATCAATCATTCCCTTTGCAAAATCTATAAAATCTACAAGGAACTGAAAAGAAACTCACTAAGTTTTCAATTGAGAATGAAAACTATCCTAAAACGGTACCATCAAGTTTAATAAATTGATTTTTTTTTTGTTAGAAATACTTATCAAAGATTTCATCATTGATGCTTATTTTATAATATGAAATTTCTCAAAAGTTCATAGATAAACAACTTCATCAAAGATCTTGAAAGTTATATTCTATAATATTAATGTCTTTCTTACTTTATTCTCTTTTTCTTCCTCTAATCTAACCAATATAATGAAATAAATCAATCTTCTATATTTGTCTCCTACTATCTTATCTAACTATACAATAACTTTTATTTATAGGCATAAAAAAAATAAACTCGTACATACACACAACTACTGTTTATATGAATATTCATCTACATATCATTAATTCAAGTGGCAATGTAAATTACTATCACACAAGTATTTAACTATATATCTCTAACTCTCATATACATATAAAGAATTGAAAGGAAAATGATTAATTGTATTTGATCAATGAAGCATAAAGTATTTATTATTTTGTACGATAACTATATAAATATATTTATTCTAAGAATTGTAAAAAAGAAAAATAAAAAAGAAGAAAAAAAATAAACGAAATTAATTGTAAGTTCATTCTTTTCATTTCCAATAGATTAGTTGCCTTGACTTAACCTTGAATTATTCTATTCTATGTGCAATTATGAAATTAAATTGTTGTGATAATCAAATGAAAGAAAAAAAATCTCTGAATGATTATTACAAATACAAACATTGAAATTTAATAAAGTTTATTCTTAAAAGTAAACTGTAATAATAATACCATTTTATACCAGAATAAACGATAATGGTAAATTTGATTGAGCCTCTTTTTTTTTAATTAATGAAATTAAGTATAAAATAAGTTATTATAAAAGCTATTGATAAACCTGAAAATAATAGTAAGTTCAGTAGAAAAGGAAAATAATCGATTGATAAAAATACCCTTAACAACAATAACAACATTGATTAAATGTCCAGTTTAAAAACTAAAGAAAATCATCTTAATTGAAACAGAAATTCCCTGATCATTTAAAATATGTACTATTTTATTTGAATAATTCAGTTCACTTCATTACAAGTAAATGGAAATTGTACCAATTGATTGATCACTGGGTGGCGATCAATGTCATCTGTGTCGAGTCCTTATTTAGTGTAGATCGAATGCTATCAACCATGTTGCAATGTGGCCACCAGTTTAGGTGACTCAACACTGCGTGCACTATTGTGAGGTTAGATGGTGGTTGGAGGTAGTCGATCTGCACTAATAAGAACTAGACACACATGACATTGATCACCACCCACTGATCAGTCAAATGTGATTACATCTCAGTTCTAAAGGAGGTCGGTCGCGGCTCAGATAGCTCAGTTGTAACGTCTCTGACTGTGAAGCTGGGTGACACGAGATCGAATCTGCCAGGGAGCATCAGTTCTCCCAAGATTACAGGTATACCTTGCTAACGAATGCCAAGTAGCACGAAACCCGGGTCCAGGGTTTCCTGTCGACTACCTCCAACCACTGTTTAATTGTATCAAAGTTTTTAGTAGTATGATATGATGTTACTATTATTTCTCATATATATTCACTAGATCTTTCGAGTATATATTATGTATGATATCACAGGTAACTTAACATGTCAATGTGGGTAATATGTTTTTTTGAAAATAATTCGACTAAAATCATCATAATAAATTGTGATCTGGTATTTTTTTTTAAAAATCACATAGCATAATCCAATCTTATTTAATGAGTTAATGAATCACTTTGAACTTGGTTAATTTCATCATTTACAATCAATCACTTATCTCTATATTTAAATTCAATCGTTTATTGTAACTATCCCATTAACTCTTATTTTAATTATATCAATTCAAGAAATATTCTATCTAATAATGATGAACTAAATAAGAAATTCTATGAATCATATCAGTTAATAATAAGAATTAATATCTAAGCCCCTTATAAAATATCAGTAATAATAATCAATAGAAAATTGATTATACATAAATATTGTTAGATTAGATGAAATAAATTCGTTTATTATCTAATGTTTGTATGTATTTCTATTTTGATAATGTAAATATACATAGAGATAGATAGATAGATAGATGGTAGGTAGGTAGATATGTATATGTATATACGGCTTTGATAATGTTATTCCAATTATTGTCGTTATAAACAAATAAATCAATGTGAGAATAATATTTATTTATTTATTTGCTTACTTTATTTGTTTACAAATAATCTATATGAGTAATACGTTAATATCAAAGGGGTTGTCTGATCTTATTTAGTTGTATATAATAGAAAATCGAATTAAATGTTATAAAGTAAATATTTGATTTAGAAGAGAAGAAAATAACTATCCTTTGTGAAACATAGCTACTTGAACGTTTTATTTTGAAAAAGATGAACTAACCAGCACTTCAAAAATAATGATACGTTTATAGTGTTTGCATGAACTAATGATTCCTTTGTACGTGTTGTAGGCTTGATTTACAATTTCAAATATAGTACATAAGTTCGTATTTATCTAATACTTCTTGATCCAATTGAGTTATTTCTGGGATTCCTAGTTTATACTATAATTCAAGTGCTTCTAATTATCATAATGTTGTTATAAAATTAGTTAGATCTAAAGTAACATTTTAATCTCTTTGTCTTTCATTGGCTCGTTATCGAATTTAAACTCGAAAACATTGAATAATAGTCATTTGTATAGGAACTAACTAGTCCGTCTTAATCTTTTGATTTCTATACTGGCAATTAAAATTATTGTTCATCTTCTAAGTTCTTATATATATGACAGTAATCTATTGTGTCTTGAAGTAAAAATGGAGAAAAGTCAGCAAAGAAAATTTTCATTTCGATGAAATCATTTATTTAAGCTGTTCATTTGTATTGACAGTTGTTTGATAAATATGTAAGTCTATATTTAACTGAACAATAGAAGCGATCTCATCCTAAAGTGATCGATGTTTTTAACTATCAAATGAGATTTAGATAATAATCAGGGTATTAGTCAAAAATGGAAGTATGAAAATTAAACAGGTTTATGCTGATTTCAAACATTTTACTGAGAAACAAATTTGTTTAGAAAATAAAGTTTGAAGGTTATACTTTTCAGTAGACCTAATAACTTTGTACTTGCTCTCTTTATCTGATGCTTCACATTTTAACTGATTCATAACAAACAACACTGTACAGGTATCCTTACCAAGGTTTGATTTGATAATTTTGAATAAATTAAGCATTGAGTGAATTATTATAAATAAATAATTTATTTGTAATATACCAATAAGCAGAAACATTAGATTTTCTGACGTTTCATAACTCCGTGTAAGTCTAGCTATTTTATTTATTCACTGAAGAGGTGTCTTACACTGAATGACGAAACGTCGGAAAATCTCATTTTTTTCTACTCATTGGAATATTACAAATAAATTATTTATTTACATAACACTTTAGATAATAAAACTCATTGTGTGTTGCAAATAAATGTTAACTGAATTTAATAGAAATGAGGGTAGACTATGAATGCAATGTGAAAAATTCATTTATATTATAAAAAGGTGAAATTTATAATAAACCTTCACCTTCACTTATCTAAAACATTTTAAATCATTATTTTCCGAGAATGTAAATCATTTGCATAACAGTCATTGTATCATATTTAATTTATCTATATTGAGAATTACCTAATAAGTCAAAAGTTTTTTTCTGAAAGCAATAAGTGATATGTAAGATATGCCGACATTTAACCGCTTTTAACATTTCCTGTGAATGGAATAAAAGTATATATTGGAGATGATTGATGTCAACAATAAACTAACTAGATCTACTATATTTCCTTTAGAAAATATTAACAACATTAATAACAAACACAACTTTATAATCTTGTAAATAACTTGTCATTGTCATTTACGCTTGTCAATAAATCAAAACCAAAGAGAAGTTAAATTAAATAGAATATAGCCATTAATATATAAGATAGACTTTATACAAATGAATGTGAAACATGTAATATTACATCAGTAAATACATGAATCATTGACAGTTATATATAAAGTACAAACAAAACATGAAATGAATATAGTATGTCGCTATGGGAAAGAAATGATTGTTTTTCCTGATACATATACAATAGATTTATATAATACAAAACCAGTTTTGCATAGGAATTTTTTTTCTTTGGAAAACAAACAATTTTACAAATCAATAAGAGAATTTCTAACAAAACAAAAGGTGTAAATTATCACAAAATCATAGTTTCCGATAGATTTAAGCTTTTCATTTTATTAATTTTCTTTAATATTGGATGATTTCTTGAAAGAACTATTGATTATAATACTAAGATGAATATCTTTATAGGTAGGTAGATAACAGTGTATTGCATTCAACTTAAAGAAATGTGTCAGTAATTAAAACCATTTAAATATTCCGTTAGAAATTTTTTTTTAAAATTTCATGTTGAGATTCGATCAATAAAATTGGATAAACTGATATGATATAAAGTGATTTTGTTTTCCAGGTTCATGTTAGCCTTTTATAACATTAACTGAGCAAACTAAATGTATTGACTAGATAAAAATCTAACTTGATTCTAAATAACAAACATTGATTTCTTAAAATAACAAATCAAAGGGAATTCTTTCTATATCACATCATTCAGAAAAATTTGTATTGGCAAAGGTTACTTAAATTTATGTGGTAATGCAATCTGAAATTATTAGATTCGGTTTGAGCTTATTTACAAATGTGTTTCAGATGTCATGAAATTAATAAACCTTAAAATAAACTCACCAATTTGTCAATTTACAATCTAAAATCTACCGTATAAATGAATTAAAAACTAATACTTCTTCATTTTTTGCTAAGTTTGTCACAGTTCTCTTTTCTCTTATAATAATTAAACCAATTAAAATAATATAATAAGACGAAGATTATCAGAACTATGTGATATATTAGCGAAATACATTTCGAACAATCTGACCACACATAATGTACTTGTTAAGAACATTTATATATAAAAATGGAAGGCCAACCATCCGTGGTAAAATTGGCTTATTATCCAGAGTGATCAGGTTTCGAATTGTGTTCACATTATTATTATTGCTCTTATTAGTATTCTTGTTTCCTCTTACCCTCCATTTCTAGTCTAGTTGACCTTTTATTTTTATATATAAGCGTTCTTAACATGTATACTATGTGTGATCAGATTGTTCGAAATGTTTTGAGCTAATACATAACATAGTTCTGATAATGTTCGTCTTCTTATTACGTCATCGAAATTTATCAAGGAGACTAATTGCTCTAAACCAATTATATTGGAAGGATAAAAAGATGTAGCATAGTGCAATTCATTTGATCTAAGGTATATAATTGTCATAGCCCAAAGCCGCCAATCAGAAGCAGCGAATTATCGATCGGATCAAGGACGCGTAAAACACGCGCGAGCAGCCTAGAGTTCTGATTGGCCCTGCTCCCTGTCTAGCCCAGCCAGTTAAGTCTAGAACACCAACCTGAGCCTCTGCAAGATGGATCCTTATATTTCGAACATACTGAGTTTATATACTAATCAAACAGACCAAAACGTACCAATAAAATATGAAACAACATTTGTACAAGAATTAGACAGATGTGGCTGTGAATGAGGGAGGTAGTAATTAATATACTGGGCATGACTCAAGAATGGTAAAACGTATAATAGTAGTTTATGGGTCAAAATAAAGCTCATAATAACAGGAATATGAATATGCATAGTTTAGTTACTTAAGAATTATACAATAGAAAGATACATTTAGTATCGGTCCACCAATAGATCCCAAAAGTTACCATTCATTATTCTTGTCGGAACATAACAATGATAGACATGTTTTACACATTTTATAGTTGTTTAAACCAATTACAAATGTCATAATTACCAAATAATTGAATGTTTTGTTATGGCTACATACAAAATTCTTAGCTTTTCACAATTATCGTAACAAAATATGTTAACTGAACACTTTAATCATTTCAGTTTTATTTAACTCTAATATCCATGACTTCATTCATTTTAGAATTTTTATTTATTTTTGTTGTGTGAATGTTCTTCAGTCGACTTTTTAAAATGTCTATAGATACTATAAGTTGTTTTCCAGTATTTTTTCCTTACATAACTCATGATGAATATAATATTGCGTGTACAATTTCCTTCTCAACTCATTTTTAAAGCATTTATAATATTATGTATTTTAACAACTCAACTGATACCCGCTACATTTTCCTATAGTTACAGTAACTAAATACTAGGAGCTAATATGTTATCATCATGAAATAACTCATATTTAAACTTCATTTCTGGTGTCACTATGACCATGTGGGGTGGAATGCGAGTTCATCTAACTGATGATTTTCTCTCAATATATAAAACTTTACCAAAACTTTTAATTAACAAGGATATCGAGGCTATCAACTCCGAACGTCTATATTCTAACAGGGACTTCATATGACGGGAAGAAAAGTCAAAATTAGATTGATTTACTCATTGTGATTTTCGTTCAACATTAATCCTGTTTTAATTCAATGTGATGAATACTCAGTGTAGTATTTGCTTCTGCTTTCCCATATGATATTTTGTTCTGTATGACAAAAGATATTCTTGTATTCAGTGGACATGAACTATGCTCAGCAGACATACAGCTTGTGATTTGTTATCATTTCGGGTATTTTTCATACACGTCATTTCATCCTAACTATTAATCAAAATGGGTGTACAATCAGTATATAAATGTGGATATTTTCGACTAGGTTCGTTTTGTTTTAGGCTTAATAAATCTTCATTTACTCTAGTTTTTGTATTCGTACTTTCGCGTCGTAAGAATTACAGTGGCTCCTAGTTTTACAACTAAAGATATAAGCAATTCTAGCACAACAATTAGCGACGATCAGATATAACAAATAGTGTTCAATCTAAAAGAAATATCAGAACTGATCATTGCAGTCCTTAATAAAACCAATAGGAGGGGTGTGGCTGTGGTGTTTGAACGAACTAATGATACTATTGTACTGGTTGATTGTACGATTTCGAATTAGAAATACAGTACATTCGGTTGTGCCTGTGTCTTCTTAATTCAATTGCGTTATTTCTGGGACTCTTAGTTAGTGCTATAATTCCAATAATTCGAAACATTATAGTGGCCCTGTAAGAAAACCACCTGCTTTGATCTGGGCACCCGGGCAGTATCACAGCCCACACACACAAATATGGTGTGGTGCATATATATTTGGTGCCCTATTATACCAATATTTATGTGTTGAAATAAAAACCAATAGGAATATTAACTAAATTAACTATTTACAAGTGTAATTATGAGATTAACGTTCAAAGTATTATTTAGATGTTTCTTAGAAAATTTGCATAATTTTCATATTTATTTGTATCTAGTTCAAAAGTTACCAATATCTACTTGTCAGTGTCATTTAATGCTTAAAAAAAACATTACTCTCTAAGTTGATCTGTTAAACCAATATTTTCTGAATATAAATAAAAATTTTACTTACTTGAATCACGTGTACCGAATGATATAAGGCAACCATCGGATCCATTTACAACGGATTGAATAATATCGGTTAGAGCAAATGCGCATAACTCTGCCTAATTGTTCAAAAGAGAATATATTTCGGTAAATTAGATTTTCACACCGTAAGAAGAAATGAACAAACAAGTAATTAGATGGGTTTTTTTTAAAATAATAACATTGATATCATATTAATGTAGAATAAGAAGTACATGAGAGAAAACATAGGCAAACGTTTTCATTGTTTGACTGATAAAGATAAAAATGATTTAGAATGAATTTTTCTTATTAGAATTAGGGTTAAGTGATTTGAGCTCTCTTTTCAACTGACTTTATCATTACAAGAAGGGGGTTTGTGGAGATTGACGTAATTTCAACAGTTGAGATCATGAGCCAATTGAAGCTAGACCACCATGGATGCGCACTGCTGAGGAGTCCCAAAATAGAACGAAACGGCCATCCAGTGGTTCCAGGTTTTCTATGGTTGTCTAGCTTCAATTGACTCATGATCTCAACTGTTGAAATCATCATTACAAAGTAGAATAATTATTACTTTTTTTCACATCTAGTATTACATTTTATCTGTATTCATGGAGGAGTGGGGGTGGGGTAAGCTCTTGTAAGTATTCGAGACATAATTGACATAAATCCATTGCTTTCTTTTTCACTTCTAATACAAACTAGTTTAATTGTAACTTTTGTTCACATATCTCAATGTTTTTCTTTATTGATTATGAAAAAAAAAGATTTGCAGATTTATAACCGAAATATGAAGAAAAGTTTGATTGAAAGTAATTTGAATTTTGGATTAGAAAAAACGTTTTTAATCTGTAGAATGATACTATTAATACTCTTAAAAATCTGTAAAATAATTAAATTCAATTCAGTTCCTTAACTACCTAACTAACTAACATTCACTTGGTATTGTTTTACTTGTATCCTTCCACTGTTATTTAGGACTGAAAATGATTAGTCTCATATTGGCATATGTGCATTTTGTGAGGATCGCCTCGACATAGTTTTAAGTCATAAGCTTTCTAAGCAAATCCAGCTGACGACTCACAAATGGGACGAAACGCGCGCTCTGAATTCCACTGCTAGCCACTATCCATCTTTCCTTAACCAACTAACTAACTAACTAACTGACAATTTTATGATTCTTCGGGATAGAAAGTGTTTCTTTAACGAACTATTTTTCATCAAATGAATAGTTTCATAGGATATTTTATTAATATGTATCCCTAACTCATTCTAGTAATCAATTCAACTATATAAGCTTTATTTATCAGAATATTCATAATTTAATAACTGGTCAACAAGTGATATGCATCAAATTTTAGTGTGATTCTGATAAATAAGGGCTTTTGTGTGCTACCGTGAATTTATAAATTGTTCCGAACGATAATAATTATTCATTTGACTAAGATTAAATTGATGATTTTAAATTCAGGACATCCTAATATGAAAATTTCACTGGGATAATATTAGAGTGATGTTTGTCACAAATCGATCACAGTTGAGGCTTCTTTGTAAGCCAGGGAGCTCTGAACAGGTATTTCATTAAAGTATCAAATACCTTATCAGTGCTCACTGAAGACTACTCCAGGGATGGAGATGATAAGCTTATAAATAGATCCAATAGTTTTGTGTAAAATGGTTTGGGTTTCTGAATTTAATCAATTAACAATGTTTCACAATGAATATTTAATCCAACTAGTAAATACTATTATACTACCGATATGTCTGAACGGAGGATAGCTAAGAGTTTATATACAACAACGATAAAGATGCTCAGTAACCTTCCATTTTTAATGTTAGTCTAACTGAGATCAATCCATGATGAATACCACCCACAACTTCAGCAATGTATTTACCATCCCGGTTATTTAATGCTATGACTATTATCAGTTAATAAAATTTTTATGATGCAAAGTATGAGCATATGATCCAATTCAATTATTCAGACCTTGATATTGAAAAATCGATAATGGAATGGTACAGAAAATAGAAGCATGAATAGAACAATACATAGACTGTTACATTTTTATTCGACCGGTGACATGTCTAATACAAAAGTTCTTTAATGAACGAACAATTCATTCATCTTAACATTGCAAACCTTATTCTTTGTACTCTGTTTAAAATTACCAAGGGATTTATCCGTATTCATTCTTAAAGTTTCAACATGATAGATTGTTTCCTAGGTTTTAATAAATGGCAAAAGAGTCTAAACATAATTTAATGTTATCAACAAGCATGTATTTTTAGGTAGAAAAAGTATTAAAAAAATTATTTTATAATATTCAACCACATTATCTAGCTGTTTTATGAAATCTAATATTACCATCGAATCTTCTTCTGTAAAAATTCCATCCATTGCAAACAATTTTGGACCATGTAAATTTGAACATTTTATATTTGTAATTGATTCACTTCCATTAATATTTGGATCATTTAAACAAACTTGATTTTTTCGTTTTTCTACTGTTAAATATGAAATTTTTTGTTGTGATCCTTTATCAATTTCATGATCAGATCGTAATTGTAATATAATTTTGACCTATTAACAATAAAGTATATAAAAAATAGTTTTCTGGTTGAGAAAGTTTACGGACATAAATGTTGTCACATTCAGAATATTAGTTAAATCATACTCTTAAATCAAGTACCATTTAGAACAAACAAATAAATATGTCACGCAATTAGTTCCCTTGATGAATTTAAATAAAGCCAAAATGAACATTGATGTAGAATAATATGAATTCATTGTATATCGTGGTTTCTCATCAGTTGCTTACAACCAGATATGTATTCGAATTCGACATTGAGGTAAGATGTAGTATGGAACAATTGACATAAGTGAATCTAAAGAATTGGAATGACAAAAGTTATCAGTAATAACCTTCTAATGAGTTACAAAAAGGGTATTATACGAACTCTTTTTGACCGACCACGCAAAATTTGTTTAAAGATATGCCTTAGAGATGAAATTGTTCTCACCATAAATTGCCTACTTGAAAATGCATATTCGGTTAAGTTCATTCAGAAATATGTTAAAACTAGTCATCGGGTAAAATACGACAAAGTGCAAAAGAAAACCTGCTTCTTATATTTACACTTCAAAGGAGACGAAATTACTGGATCAATTAATCACAGAATAAATTCCGCGTTGAAAGTGACCTACCAAGCAGCAAAACTGACAACGGTATGGGAAACAAACTGCTCGCTCAAACAAACTACAATTGACAGGTCCTCTCTTCTCAGTAGCTCCAACTGCATTTACCGATTTACATGTACGTGCCAAAGCACATACATTGAAAGAACCAAGAGAAGAGTACATGTTCGTATTTCCGAGCATGTTCTGAAGAAATTGATACTGCGAGGGACAAAGGCTCTTAACAGTGCAGTAGCTCGGTATTTACTTGACACATGGCATACCATTGGCATTCCTCATGCTTTTAAAATTATTAACAGACAAAGAAATACTTTTTCTCTCCGTTTCGCTGAAGTGATCGCAATAAAAACGAAACTCAAAAAAAGACAGTAATAAACCTATTACTACCCTGATACTTCAGTTTTTTAGTCATTAGTTTTATTTCTTTAATGTTTACTTCGTTATATTTCTCTTCCATTACCGAATTCTTAAACCACTCCTTCACTCATACATTTCCACTCACTCGATTCTCTTAATTTATGTAAATTCTTTAAATCTTATTCAATTACTACGCAACCCATCTTACCAGTTTTTTTTAATTCCATGAATCTTATGTGAACTCTTCATTACCTCTGAAATGATCACATAATTTATCTTATCTGTCACTCAACTAATTACATCACCCATCCATAATGTTTCCTTGATTCTGACACCAAATAACCTCTGACCTGTTCTTGCATATATCCATATAGTTATTATTGATAATCTTTGTCATTCTTTACATACACTTATGTCAATTGTTCCATACTATTTCTTATCTCAATGTAAAATTCTAATACACATTTGGTTGTAAGCAGCTGGTGAGAAACCACGAAATATAATGAATTCATATTATTGTGTAACAATGTTCGTTCTGGCTTTATTTAAATAAACATGTTTAGAAATTTAATTTCGTCACGAAGATGTATAAAGCCATTTAATGTACTAGTAAATAATTACTGTAATTAATTCCCAATATTCATACAAGTTCAATTCATGGAGGAACAGAATAAGCAAAAAGGAATCGTGACGTAAGAGAACTTAGTGAACATATACAAATTTTTATTAACAGCGTAGACAAAATAATATAACTGATAATAATTATAATTAGTGTTAACAGACACAATTATAGTAGTTGAGGCTGGTTTGATAAAAAATAATTTATTGAATAGATAAACCGATAGAGGGTCAGACATCTTACTGAACAACATTAATAAAACGAAACTAATTATAACAATCATTAATTAATAATGAAATCTACTAAGATGAATAATGAAGCCGTTATTGTGATCACATAAAAGTAGAAAGAAAAAATAAAGAACGTTTTTAATTGGTTAAGAGGTAGACGAATTTTATTTTTTTTAAAAGTATTTTCTCAAACAAAAAATGGAGAACGGTAACAAGAAATCGATCACTATACCAGCAACCAGGTTAACTAATAATTTTGTTTGTATATAGACATTAAGGTTGAGATGATCAATACTTAACACTTATACAAAACGTAAATACCTGCCTTTTTTCTGTCTATTTATCACATAAAATGCTATTCCAAAATCTACTGAATGAACACTAATTGATGTCTTCCTAAGGCTCTGTTGGTTAATTTAATCTCGTTTCCTCTGTCACTTATTCTGTTTGTCCATAAATTAAACATGTATGAATATTGGAGTTAAACTACTACGTATAAAAAATTACCTGTAAATGGGACTGTACAGCTTCAAAAAGTGATATTGTGGAAAAGAAGATTTTCTTCATTGAAATACCATCATTCTTTTTAATTATAATTATTCTTCATTAGTAAACTAAACTATACAGTAGTTAGTCCACCTTATCTACGAACCTATTAAAATTGTTTGGTCAAATTGTATCTTTGGTTTAATTAAGAGACGACCGGATTAGTAAATGAGCAGGGTTATTGATTTTTACATCCTTATTCTTATTTAAATCCATATAAATATTGAAGGTTGAAGCTTTTTATCCAAAATTATGTTTAAACATTTTATTAGCCATTAACACAATTCGGTTACAAAATCTTTTATAGATTATCTTTAACAAAGCATAATAATATAAAGGTTAAAGCAACATTATGGATTAGTTTCGCTGCTTAAAACAGAGGTTACCATATTAGAATCCTATAAAATGTCATATAACTGGCTGGAGATAATTATAACCGACATTTGATAAACTAATCTATTAGTTGAGTCTATTAAAGCTCTAAATTGAATAAAATAACTAATTTGCTATTAAAAAAAAAAGAAATTGAAATGAGAAATTGAGTATGATTGATACAGGGATAAACTAAAAATTGTTATCCTAAATTGATTTTAAGTCAGAGACAATTTCTTATCCAACTATATCAGCAACATAGAAAATTATATTTAGATTTACAAATGAAAAATAATTTTGACAGTTTGATCAACTTAGAATTCCTTAAAAGTATTGTATCATTAGGCGAAGTGAGTTTTAATTTGTTTGCTTGTCAGCAAGTGATTCAATAAACCGTACAATCAAACAAATAATTACTGCCTTATTAATAATGCTCCATACGACAGTCTGAAAAGTGAAATGGTTTACATGAAGAGATAGTGATTTACTTTAAATAAGCTACAATACAGTTTTAAGTGTTTAAGAACATTAGGGCAATGAAGGCAGTTATATTCTCACGTTCGTCCCTTCGTTACGCCATTTCCTCCTCGTGGAGGAACATAGGCCGCCCACCAGCTCTTTCCAGTTTTTATTCATCCTTTTCATATCTGATTCTATTTCCCGATGTATTTTGTTCTTTGGCCTTTCACTTTTCTGCTCGTGATGCAGTTTGGCGATTTTCGTACTGTGTGTCCTATCCATTTCCATTGTCTTTTCCTAATTTCCTCTTCAGCTGGAAACTGGTCTGTTCTCTTCCAGAGAAGGCTGTTGCTGATAGTATTCGACCAATGGATGTTGAGTATATTGCGTAGACAGCTATTTATAAATACTTATACCCCCTTGATGATGGTTGTAGTAGTTACCCACGTTTCAGCTCTGTACAATATGACTGTTTTGACGTTCGTATTGAAGATCTACATTTTGATATTGTTGGACAACTGTTTTGAGTTCTATATATTCTTCAATTTTAGGAATGTGGCCCTTGCTTTGCCAATCGTTGCCTTTACGTCTGCATCTGAGCCTACTTGTTCATCGATGATGCTTTCCAGGTACATGAAATATTCCCAAGTAGTCAGTTATAAAGTTAAGTTAATAAAAAGGTATTCACGCATTATAAGGCTGCCCTACACTATATCAAAGGGCAGTACATTAACCAGTCATATATCTAACTAGTTTCTCAGTAAAAATTTATGATCATCAATCTTGGCAATAATATTTCCGATCGCGGATCATCTTGTTAAGAACTTTCTTTGTTATATTTTCATTCATTTAAAATCAAGTCGTACCCTATTTCACCTATGGAATAAATTTTGATAATCTCGCACACCAGTGAATTGATTTACCTCAAGTTATCAGACGGTTGGCTTAAGTATACCTATTCTGAAAACCAAACAAAAGACTAAATTGCATGCCGGAAATATTCGCCTCATGCATTCACCATACTGTCACATACTAAATGGTATCTATAAAAAGGGGTTTGCTGAGTCAAAAGTGATAATAAGAAATTTTTTATCGATTATTGAAAAATTTAACGAAGATTAATGAAGATTAATGGCAACCTTGAGTGTTTTTTACGAAAAACAAAGTTATCATCTGTTTTCCTATGCATTCTCAGATAATTATAAACCATGAGATAATTACATGGTATATAAGACGTTGAAGGTGTCTATTACTAGCTCTAAACAAATATATTTTTTGTCTATTTTAAGTAAAGTAGTGGCTAATAAACCTCTAAATGTTACCGAGTTTTAAACTAACTCTATAAATTTCAACGACTAAACATTATTGAATTCTAGTAATTAAAAATTGTCGTCTTTTCATATGAGTATAAATTCATGCGCACGAACAGCTTCGTTACTAATGCTAATTTTATACTATATTAAAAAGCTTCTCACTACCCTTCATATTGATTATAGATCTTTGTTCGTTATATATTCCGTGGATGAGCCTCGTTCTTCAATGTAATAGTATACAACAACAGATAAAGATATTCATTTTAAATCGTGAATATATTGGAATAAGATTTCGTAAATCATTAAGTTAAGAATCCTTGAAGATGTAAACACGGTGTGTGAATATGAAAACTAAAAAAACACTCAAAAGTGTTCTTGAAAAGTTTTTTCGCTCAACAGTAAACTTTCTGAATAGGCCTTTTTAACGAAGTGACAAAAGGACACTGTGATAACATAAAAACAATGCAATATTCCGTTTATCAATAAGATTTCAATCAATAATACTGTTTAATCTGAATGCTGTAAAGAACTTGTAAATGATTTAATATATATATTTCTCAATAAATCTCAATGGGTATCCGTTATTCTTTAAACATTTTTAACATTCATTACTTCCTCTTCTAGTGTATCGGTAATACATATTCTTTCTGTTCTGTGAAACAGTTTTAACAAGTGTCTTTTTGCAATTAATTGGACAAAAGCTATTGAAATGGAGATAAATCCCATTCCATTTGTCTTTCGTATAAACTAAACGTTGAACTATATCATCCTTCTTTCGCTTTATTGCGATATCGTGAAAATGGAACTTAGTTTTATTTTCATATTCCATAATAAACTGGATATTTGAATGGGACTAAATAATCATGTATCTTAATAGTTAAATTCATTAATCAACTGAAGCTAGACCATTATGGAAAACTTGAAAGCACAGGACAACCGTTTTGTTTTAGTATGGGGCTTCTCAGCAGTGCGTAACCACGATCCCGCTTCGAGAGATTCGTACCCAGAACCTATTATTCCTATTAATAATAATAAGTTATTAGTTAAACTAATGTGTTGTTGTTATTATTATTGCTGAATAAGTACTAGAAATAAAACATTCAATATGTATTTATTCATTTAGATGTTGTTTTTCTAAATGAATTTTAAAAAAAGAAAAAATCTAATTAACTGAACATTTAGTTAATGATTCAATTAAATTTTAAAACTAACATTAATCAAACTGAAACAATTAAATCATTACAGGTATATAGGTACAAACGAACACAATTAAAATGTTACCTTTCTAAGATGATTGAATTAAATGAACAACAATTAGTTTTGATTAATAACTACCACTTCAGTAAAAATGTAATACAATTAATCGATTAAATTCATAATATAATTATAAGTTAATATTCAATTTATTAACAATAATAAAACTTAAAATCAACTTGTAACCCTTTAAATTAAATTTTAAATACATTATGAATTATTATTTAGTATTTACTTACTTTACCAGTTTTATTATTTAATATAGAATTATTAGTTCCATTTCGACTCCATTTTAAAAGTGTTGGAGGCATTGGAGGTGGATGATGATGGATAACTTCGGAAAATCCTGTCAAACATTTTGATTGTTGATTGTAACGATATAATGTTGATAATGTATTATAACCAGTTAAATGATTTATATCAATAACGTCATTAGATAGAATTTTACGTTTACGTTTTGAATTATTTGTAATTGTAAGTTTCTGACCAGCTCTATTTAATAAAAAAAAAAATTAAATAAAATAAATGGATACAATTATGTCCGAATGTGGTAATTATTCTGTGGAATGAAGAAAATTTTCGTAATGATATGAAAATCTCCACTAAAAAAACCTCTATGTTCCTTGAAAATTCAGTTCATTTAAGTCTTTGTTTTAGATTACTCATAAATTACATATTAGATATCAACTCTGCATATATTCACCTAATCAATAATTAATTAAAATGTCAATATTGCTTAGAATTATAATCGTTGATAACATGCACTTGGCCGTTTTCCTATATTGTTCTTCCGATCTACTACTAACTAAGCCATAATAAATGTTCGGGTTAGTAAAGATATATTCATATGCTTTACATGTTTTTCGCCCGTGCAAGTTGATAGAAGCTCCCATCTCATCACTGGACTTTCTATTTCCCCTTATAATACTATATTAGTCTTCAAATATTATTCGGATGTTGCTTCCATCATTTGCTAACAATCCCTCAAATACAATTATGGATATATACCAGTAAATTACTATGTTACGTTAAGTTCAAATGATAACTAAACATTACTACTACATATATTCATTCTGAGGTTGGGGAAGATGATCTTGTTTGGAATACAGCTATCGGATTTCAGAAAAGACATAGCTATATATTCTATACATTTGTGCGTAATTATTACTATCATGTAAGCGTTATTGATTCAGTCATTTAACTTTATAACCAAACAGTATATTGTCTGGAAAAATTTATTTTTCGAGATATTTAGTCCTTAATAGAAGTTAATTCATGAGTACTTAGTTACTTTATGACACATTAGCTTGTTCTAATTACAGAAAAATTCATGTCGTTATATTGACTAACATTTCTATGTCCTAACACAGTAACATTTATTAAACAACTAAGACTGATAAAGATACCATGGAAAACAATTTAAACGGGATAACTAAAATCATCACAGATTAAACTAAATGCTACTTACGTTATAAAAGTTGGTAGCTACCTAATTTCATTAAATTAGTAGATAACCTATCAAACGTTTAAAATTAAATACACCAGTTTGAGGTCAGATGTAAAAAATAAAATCCGAAATACAGGTACATCCAAATATCGAATTCAAAATAATATGACATATTCATTCTGAACTTCATTCATTGCTGGTCATCTTTCATCTATTCTATAAAAACTTGTAGCATAATGGTTATCCCAGTCAGTCAAAAACGTAGAACTTCGTACGTAAGTACATCAGTTTGAGTTGCCATACCACATTAGCATAAAAATACAATTTTTGATTTAAATCCCATAGTGGTAGAGATAGTAAAAGTATAAGCAATAATTGTAAACATTAGGATTTGAAGATGCTGTTTAAGGAGTATAATCCAATGAAGTAAATTTGGAAAGAGAAAAAAGGGACATAAAGAATTAAAAAGATAACAATTTGGGAGAACACAACGAATGGATACACCTGAGCCATTGAAAACGATTTCGAGCCATATCATTCAACGTCTCTAACTATTGGTTGTTATCGTCTCGTGGATCCTAACCAGGTAGTATAAATCTACCAACATGACTCAGTCCACTTGTCAGTGACTTCATGGACTTGTGCCATGTCTTGGTCTGGCCACTCCTAGCTTTCTTCCAAACTAATCATACACCATAAAACATTGCACGTCGGGGCAGTCGGTGGTTGGACATACGTAACACATGTCTCAGCCATCATAACTGATGAAGTTTCAATACTTCATAATGGTTATATCGAGGTTACACTATACTCACATGATATATATATATTCTCAATACCGGGAAAAGTCTTCAACAGAGTATTGTTAAACAGAATAGAGGACTCCGTCGACGCCCAACTTCGAGATCAACAGGCAGGATTCCGTAAGGATAGATCGTGTACAAACCAAATCGCAACTCTACGGATCATTGTGGAACAATCAATTGAATGGAATTCACCACTCTACATCAACTTCATTGACTACGAAAAGGCAATTGATAGCGTGGACAGAACAACACTATGGAAGCTTCTTCGATACTATGGCGTGTCTCAGAAGATAGTCAATATCATACGGAATTCATATGATGGATTAAACTGCAAAATTGTGCATGGAGGACAATTGACAGACTCGTTCGAGGTAAAGACCGGTGTCAGAAAAAGCTGCTTACTCTCATCTTTTCTCTTTCTCCTGGTGATCGACTGGATCATGAAGACGTCAACATCTGAAGGGAAACGCGGGTTACAGTGGACATCTAGGATGCAGCTGGATGATCTAGACTTCGCAGATGATCTGGCCCTCCTATCGCAATCGCGACAACAAATGCAGGAGAAAACGACCAGTGTAGCAGCAGCTTCAGCAGCAGTAGGTCTCAATATACACAATGGGAAAAACAAGAGTCTCCGATACAACACAGCATGCACTAATCCAATCCCAATTGACGGAGAAGATTTGGAAGATGTAAAAACCTTTACATATTTGGGCAGCATCATTGATGAACATGGTGGGTCTGATGCACATGTGAAAGCGCGGATCGGCAAAGCAAGAGCAGCACATTTACAACTGAAGAACATCTGGAACTCCAAGCAACTGTCAACCAACACCAAGGTCAGGATTTTCAATACAAATGTCAAGACAGTTCTACTGTATGGGGCGGAAACCTGGAGAACTACGAAAGCCATCATCCAGAAGATACAGGTGTTTATTAACAGTTGTCTACGCAAAACACTTCGGATCCGGACACTATTAGCAACAACCAACTTTGGGAAAGATCAAATCAGATCCCAGCGCAGGAAGAAATCAGGAAGAAGCGCTAGAAGTGAATAGGACACACATTGAGGAAAGCACCCAACTGCGTTACAAGACAAGCCCTCACATGGAATCCTCAAGGCCAAAGGAGAAGAGGAAGATGAAAGAACACATTACGCCGAGAAATGGAAATAGACATGAAAAAGATGAAGAAGAATTTGATGGAGTTAGAAAAGAAGGCCCAGGACAAAGTGGGTTGGAGAATGCTGGTCGGCGGCCTATGCTCCATTAGGAGTAACAAGTGTAAGTAAGTAAGTAATATATATGTATATACATCAACTATGCTTGATCAAAATCCAATCTTAAATCTCCACATTGAGATCATACAAATCAATACAAATTAATTTAATTTTTAATTGAGTTCATTAAAACACAATTCTAGTTCATATTGATTTCTTGTAAATGTTTAACTTGATTACATAATAATAAATATTTAATTGAGAAAAAAAAGGGAAAAATAAATATTTATCAACATGAAAAGGGGAAACATATGTTCATCATGAAATAATTTTTTTTTTAAAAATAAAAAAATAATAATAAAAATAAAAAAAATAAAATGAGTTAACAATATTTCAGACAAATATTAATCAATAATTTTGATCTAAATAGATGAAATAGAAAAGTGTGTTTAAGGCGAATAATGCAAATGTTTTTTTCTTTCGGTTTGAAAATTAAATCCAAAGAAACAAAAAGAAAAAATTTTTTTAATCTCTTTCTATGTCTCTTTTTCCTCGCTCTCTCTCTCTCCTTATCTTTTTTTGGCTCATTGCTTGACTGTTTAGCTTTAAATTACGTTCTGTGAAATGATTAGTTATATTATTGAATTGTAGTTTAATAATTTAGGGAAAAACAATATTTTCACATTTTCATTCAGTTGCCTTTTACATGTTTCATGATTCTTTCAATATTGTTGTTATTACAATTACTTTTCGTTTCTCACTATGTTTTCTTCAATTTAATCTTTTTAATCTACTGTTGGCGGGCATTCCACTTCCGATTACTGTTATATACTACTTAGATTTATCAGTACAAGTAGTATGCAGCACGACATGTAAGGTTTTTCATAAATAAATCAAATTAAAAATGTTTAGCGTTAAAGATTGAAACACACGACATTGATCACTACCCAGTAATCGATCATTTGTCAGTACATCTCAGTCCTGCTGGAGGTCACTCGTGGCTCGGATAACTCAGTGGGAACATCTATGGCTATGAAACTGGGTGACATGGGATAGAATCTGTCGGGGCGAATCAATCCCCTCAAGATTACAGGTACACCTTGCTGATGAGTGCCGAATAGCACGAAACCTAGATCTAAGAGTTCCAGTTCACTACCTCCAACCATCATCTTAAATCAACATAGTGCATGTAATGTCGAGTCACCTAGACAGGTGGTCACATTTCAACTTGGTTGATATCATTCGATCTGCACTAAGAAGTATTTGACATACATGACATTGATCACCATCCAGTGATCAAACGATTGTGAAAGATTTCATGTCGTATGTAGTCGTCCAGTAAGGTGTTAGAGTTTTCTATTATATAAAGATCTGAATACTATGTATTAAATGATTTTAGTGATCGCATTTATGGAAAACTAACTGATAAGCATTTTGAGAATGCATTCCAGTGATAATTTAACACAAGTGAAATGGAGATTGTGGAACTATAACTTTCATAGTCATATTAGAGTGTTTGACTGATAATAATTATCGGTAATTTAAACTTTAAACTCTAAAAAATGCTAACCAGAACAAACAAAATAAACCATTTAAACTCTGCCCTCAGAGTTGAATGAAGAATTATGATGTATCACTGTGAAAGCAGATATTTGTCGGAAGTCACCGAGACGATGCCCCCTCTAACAACCAGAGCGACAACCAACGATGGTACATGGAATGTCCGTACGATGTGAGAGATTGTGGAGACCAGTCAAACAGCTATGGTAACGAGGAGATACAACTTGACGGTGCTCGTAATCAGTGAAACCCATTGCAAACTTAGAGAGCTGCCACAACCACCATCAAAAAGGTACTAGTATTTATAAACTATTGTCTACACAAGATACTCAATGTCCGTTGACTGGATACCATCAGCGAAAGCTTACTGTAGAAGAGAACGAACCAGCTTCCATCTCAAAAAATAAATTAAGAAAAAAACTTTGAGATGGATAGGACATACATTACGAAAATCATCAAG